AACACTATACTCCTTTTAATACACCCAGACCTCAGATTTGCGTTTTGATCAACCCCATCATGGTGTCGCTTAGTTAGTTATAGTAAGTTAGCAGCCAAATAAAACGCCTAACTCCTTTCACAAGTGCTGATTTGAGTCCTATCTCCCCTGTGCCAGAGAGTTAGGTCTGAATATAGGAAATCTCCTTTATACCTACTGGGTTGCATCTTGGGAAATTTAACCCATTTTTCCAGCCCGTGGAAATCACTGGGATTCTGATTCTGTGTCCCTGGCATGGAGGACCATGCCTAGTGTGGGCATTGCGACTCAGAGCCTGGGCTCTGACATCATGGCGTCTGAGTCTCCAGTCGTCACTCACTGGCGGAGGGGCCTTGGGCAAGATACTTAGCCTTTATAAGCCGTGGTTTCCTCGTCTGTGAAATGGAGCTGATTAATACTAATACTCCCCTACTTGGAGGATGTAGGGTTAGAAGACTTTAATGAGAGCATTCATCGAAAATGCTTGTTAGTAGCACAGGGGCTGGTAGCAAGCACTACTTAGCTGCCATTCTCGTGGCGATCATAACCACAGCTCCTTCACTTCCTCATCCTTTTAAAAATGGCTTTTTCTCACCCAGAACCCTCCGGACCTCCTCCTCGGCTTATAGGGTCCCCTCAGCCTAAGACAGGCTTCCTCTGCTCTCACCTGTTTATGCTCAAAACCTATGCAGTATCTTTGATGCTCTCCCTCTGCTGGGAGGGACCTCTGCTGTGTCCCCCTACCTGGGAGCTTCTATTGGCCAATCTCATGAAATTCACTTTAGAGGGGCGCCCGGGGGGCTCAGTCGGTTAAGCATCGGACTCTTAGTTTGGGCTCAGGTCGTGATCTCATAGGATCGATCCCTGCATCAGGCTTCTACACTTAGCACAGACTCTGTCCCTCTCCCTCTGCTCCCCTCACCCCCAATCCCCACACGCCCTCTCTTTCTCTCTCAAAATAAATAAATAAAAATCTTAAAAAGAGGAAAGAAATTCATTCTAGGGCCCACCTTCTATTGGGCTCTTTGCATTTTCATTTCTGTCATTTTGGCTGAGGGTTTACTCCTTCATTTCTCTCTTGTCTCTAGCTTCTCCTGCAGGCTCCATCCTCTTCCTCTCACCCCCGTTGGCCCTTCCTACCCACCCAGAAGCCCACCGCCCTTCCACACCCAGTGCCACCTCCCCCTCTGGCTCCATCCCCATCCCTCCCTTTCTTCCATGCTGCCCTCCAGCCACACAGCCTGCTCCAGGCATTTCCTCCTTGTCCCCAGTGGCCCGTCTTCTGTGACCCTGAGCTAGACCCAGCCCCCTATATGGCCAGCCCCTCCACAGCCCAGAGCTGTCTCGGAGGTTTAGGGCCAGGCTTAAGGATCCAGCGGACCAAGGTTGAAACCCAACAGTATGACCCCAGGCTAGTTGTTTGGCTTTCCTGTGGAAGAATCAAATGCCACTTAGTTTGAATGAGGCTAAATGAGAGAAGTAGGTAAATTGCACGGAGAATTACAGCACCTGGGACAGGTCCCCTCCTTCTTCCTCTAAGAGGTCTTTCGGGAGCAATATCGCAGTTTCCAGGGGCTTCTCCCTCCCTTCAACGTTAGAGCACAGAACGTTTTCAGGTTTCAGCCAACACACAATCACATAGGGGACCTACAGCTCCAGGCTCATGATACGTTATTTTATGTTGTTGAAAGGAATGTTAAAGTGTTGGGTTTTCTTATTTTTGCAAGAAAGACTCATAATGACCCCAAGCTTGGGCAAGGTGTCGTCAGTCAGTTTAAAGAAATATTTGTGGAATTAATCTAAACCCCGGCCACCAGGAGGCCCCCCTGGAGGCCCTGGCATGGTTTCTAGCATGTCTGGCTAACACGGGTTTCTCCTCCTCCTCGCAGCGCATACTACTGACTGCCTCCCCCTAACCCTTGACCACCTCCAGTTTGGCCCCTTACCATGTCTGTTGTCATTTACCCTTTTTATGCCCCTTATAATTCCATACGGAATGCAGGCACCCTCTTAGGGCCCCAGTAAATGTGGGGGCTTTAGCCAGAGGTCCATCTGCAGCCAGGATCCCTCTGAAGGCTCCAGGGAAGAATCCTTCTTTGCCTCTTCCTAGCTTCTGGTGGTCGCCGCCATCCTGGACGTTCCCTGGTCTATAGGTGATTCACTCCAGTCTCTGCCTCTGTCTTCACATGCTGTCCTCCTGTGTGTCTGTGTGTCCCGTGTCTTCACGTGGCCTTCACGTGGACAGCAGTCATACTGGACTTAAGACCCACCCTAACCCATTATGGCCTCATCTTAACTAATTCCATCTGCGAAGACCCTAGTTCCAAATAAGTCCACATTGGTCGGTACTGGGGGATTTGGACACGAACGCATCTTTTTGGGGGAGATACAGTTCAACCCACAACAGAGTTTAATGTTGAAGAGTTAAGTCTGTAGAGAGAAAAAGATTACGTGGAAAAGCAGACTTCAGGAGCACAGCCCAAAGTCACATAAACCAGATGTAAAAGAACATATCCTAGAAAAGGCTAGAAATAACCTATTTTGTGCAGCGTGTACATACACAGGTACGTAGGTATGTATTTTTTCCAGATAAAGACTCCAATGTAAAAGAACTAACAGTGAAACCCTTGGAGGACAGTGTCGGCATCTACCAGTATAATCTAGGGGCAGGAGAAGCGATCTAAGGCTAGCGTTTGTCCTTAACTACGTAAGGTAGTCCGCAACTGGGAGCACGTGTAAGGAAGTATTCAGAACTCACTAGCAGTCCAGAAAATACAAAATAAAGTCACAGTGAAACGTCACCATACCCATAAGCCCAGCAAAAACGGGATTGGCGGGGATGCTTTTGTCCATGGTGGAAACGTGAACCATGAGGGCCTTTTCAGAAAGCAAGACAGCGACCTTGTGGGACTCCTGATGAGAACAAGGTCGAGAAAGTTTTTCTGTTTCAACACAAGAGGGAAATGCGTTCCTTGCCTAACCATTTGATGATATTAAGGAAGTATCCTTAAAATTTTAGGTGTGATAATGGTATTATGGTTAATTTGTAAGTAGTCTTTTTTTTTTTTCCTCAAGAGGTTCATCCTGAACTGTTTATTAATAAAATGATGTAATGATGTAATGTCTAGGACTTTACTTTAAGTAATCCAAGGAGCAAGGGGTTCAAGTGGTTGATGGTAGAAAGCTGGGGTCAGCACACTCACAGGCATGGGCCAAATCCCGCCGCCTGGTTTTGTGTATACAGTTTTCTTGGAATGCAGCCCCGCTCATTCTGCTACATATTTGTTTAGTATGTGCCAGGCTCCTTTTGTCCTCCAGCTTCTGCAGAATGGAGGACTTGCAGTGGAAAAGCAGACTTCGGGAGAACCATGTAGCCTGCAAAGCGTAAAATGTCTACTAACTGGCCTTTTACAGAAAATATTTGCAAACCCTTGTCCGTAAGGAAGCCAGTTTGGCTGGACATTCATAAAGGTTGATGCTGGGGACTGCGTGAATGCTGATTGGATTAGACTCCGTGTTTGTCGGTTTGGATCTTTCCATAATGAGAAGTTAAAAAAAAAAAAAGAAGGAAAGAAAAGAAAAAGCAATATGCTTTGACCCCGTGTATCCCATTCCTAGGAATCTACCTGTTGGAAACGAAGGCATCGATTAATAAGGATACATGTATAAGCATGTTGACTAAAATGGTTTAAAAAAAAAAACCATACAGGGGTGCCTGGGTGGCTCAGTGGGTTAAAGCCTCTGCCTTCAGCTCAAGTCATGATTGCAGGGTCCTGGGATCGAGCCCCGCATCGGGCTCTCTGCTCAGTGGGGAGTGCTTCTCCCTCTCCTGCTGCTGCTCTCTCTCTCTGTCAAATAAATAAAATCTTTAATTAAATAAATAAATAATTTTTAAAAAACCAATGCAAAACTGATTGCCTACCAGTATGAGAATGTTTGTATGAATCACACACCATCCTGCATCATGGACCAGTACTTGTCTCTTTAAAGAACGGGCTAGAATTTTGTCATCCCGCTTGGAGAATTTTCCATGACACATTTGCAGTTGAAAAAGGCAGGCTGTAGAAAAGTCTGTACTTGGCGATCCCATTTCTAGAAAACAGTGGCAGAATCGACCCCTTTGGTAGGTAGTGGTGTGTGCATGTGTGTGTGTGCGTGCACGCACGTGTCTGTGTGTATGTGTGTGCGCGTGCGTGAGACGCACAGCACATTCTCTTGGCTCAGTGTGGAGTACCGTCTATGGAAGGAGAAGCACAGCAAAACAGGAAAAGGAAAACACCTATATTTAAACAGCCGACGTGACAGTCCCGTTCATGTGTTTGTGTTAAACTGTATTCGTGTGTACACACGATTTGCTACCTTCCAAAGAGAGTTAGGATTTTTAACGCAGCTGGAAAGGAGTGAATATTCTTAATGCACTTTAAGTAACGGAATAAAAGAGAATTTGGATAGGGTTGGAAGAGACCCAGGGGTGGGGAAAATGAGAGGTAGAGTGACCCCTGCAGTCCTGGCTAGCTAGGGAAGAAGTGTCCGTGGAAGGTTCTAGCGGTGAGAGAGGGGCGGCTGGATGGCCTTTGGGCCACAGCCACTCCCTGATCTCAGCGTCTCTTCCTCCTGCTCCCGGAGAAATAATGTTTCCCTGGGGGATGAAAGGCATCCCTTTGTGCGGGCTCTAATTGCCATGTTGTTGTGCCAAGTGAATGAACGGCAGGCAGGCACAGCAGCTGGGCACAGCCAATCCCGGGCAGCAAAGCCCGCTGCCTTAGGACAGCCTGGCCAGCTGGCCTGGGAGCGCTGCCCGTCTCTGCCCCCCACTGGGGGCCCTGCCTGTATGGGGGCCATGGGGCAGAGGGGTCCTCGGGGAGCTGGGGAGAAGTCATTGCAGGGAGAGAACGGGGTGGGGTGCCTGGGAGGGTCTCGGACACTCTAGAAGCATATTCATCTCAGCCTCCTCTCCCCTCCCCCTCCCTCTTGTTTTTCAGACTGTCAGCATCAATAAGGCCATTAATACGCAGGAAGTGGCTGTAAAGGAAAAACACGCCAGAAATATCCTTTTGGATGTTGCTTGGAAGACCAACCCCGAGGCGGGTCAAATGGTGGGGACTGAGGTCAGGGCGAGGTGTCCTTGCTCAGCTGCGGAAAGGGGAACCCCCACAGCGGCCAGGCCTCCTGTAGGTTCGAGCAGCCTCGGTGGGCAGCAGCTGGCCTTTGAGACCACCGCTCGTGGTGGGGGAGGGACCAAAGCCACTTCCGAGCTCAGCTCTGTACAGTTTACCAAGGACCCCGCCCCTCTTGGGACTTCCCTTTGAGAGATTTCCTGGGGGCACAGGAGGGATCGTCACAGCACTCCAGACCCTGCACTTGGCCCGTAGGGGCCACATGGACCACCCCCGTGGGAGCATGATTATCTCCCCTTCTCCTAGCTCAGAGCCAATCAGTGGTCTGGGCTGCCATAGGCTGGCACCGGGGCTCAGCCATGGAAATTAGAGCCACCTCTGTGAGATGGTTCCTCCCTAGTCAGCAGGGGAGAGGACAGGACCCTCAAGCCTACTTAGGGAGCTGGTGGCTTGGAGGTTTCCAGCCCCCCACCACGCCGCACCCCTCCCCATGCCCTATTAGGCCCTCCTAATAGGCATGGGCTATTAGGGCAGCCACCCTCGTGGGGTGTGGCTTGGGAGGGAAGTGCAGGCTGCACCCTGGTTGTTGGATTCCTTGGGATCTGCCCTTGAGGGATAGAGTCTGCGAGCAGGTGGGCTGACCCCCAGTGTTGCAACGGCGAGGCTACTAGAGAACTGGGGCAGAGCAGGGTGCAGCCCAGGGCCGGCGGAGGCTGGGCTTCTGTCTGGGACGAGCACCTGCCGCTTGCCTGGGCTCATTGTGGTGGCAGTGACACAGCCGGGTCAGAACAGCTCACGTGGAGGCCATTCCACCTCGGCTCCTGGAGGAGACCCTCCAGGTTCCCTGGCCGGAGGAGCCCCGCCCCGCCAGCAGGATGCCTAGCCCTTGGCAGACCGTCAGGAAGTGGTGCTAACAGCACGTCCTGCTCTTTATTGGTGGGAAGATACTTTGGTTGGACTTTAGGGCTTTGCTGCAGGATGGGGGCTCTAGGCACCCCAGAAACCTGGCCCAACAGTGAGCCTAGTTAGACTTTGCCCTTTTATCCCCAGAAAGGCACAGTCCCCTTGCTTTACCGAGTCAAGAAAAGCCCCAGTAGACTTTCTCAGGGGGAAAAGACCTTGTCCCGACCCCTGTCTGCTAAGAATACTGATCCGTCCAACTGAGATATGAAATAAGAGATGGTTGTCAGAGGTCAGTGTGCTCGGGACACATCAGACCCTCCCAGGGAGGCTACCCGGAGTGACAGAAGGGGTACCACAAGAAGGTTCTGGAATCCCACCTCCGCAGCAGCCTGGCTCGCTCTGGTGGGTCCAGCGGGGTCTCCATGAGCCTTCATCCCCTTGTCTGTCAAATGAAAGACTTGGCCAAAGAAGATCTCAAAGGTCTCCCGTTCCCACTCTCACCTTCTCTGAGTTTCTCTGCGTCACCATTTCTAGGAGGTAGATTAAATGTTAGAAGGCTCAGCTCCGAAGGGCAGGATTTTAAAGCCTAAAGATATCACAAAACATTTATTCTTTATTGATTTTTTTTGGAAACCGTCAACCACTCTCAATCCCAGCTGAATAAGCATTTGGGAGTCTGACGTCACAAGTGCTGTTCAGATAGCCACTGATCCCGGGTGTCTACCTGCCTCCCTGCCCGCCCCCACCGTGTATCTACTCCCAGAGGACTAGGGACTGAGTCTTATCTATTTATTTTTTTTAATATCCCTGAGTGTCTTTTATAGTGCCTGATACGCAGTGGGTGCATTAAAATGCTTAGGAAATCAAAGGACAGAAAGGTCTCCTTCCCTCTTTCAAGGTCACAGTGCCTGACTTAACTCTGCACTTGCTCCGGCTTCGGTAGAGTAACCACAGTCTGCCCTGAGACGTCAGCCCAGGAGAGGGGTGGGGAGCTGTCCCTCTCTCCTCTCTGCTTCCATCTAGCCCGAGGCGGCTCTGCTTCAGGGGAGACTGTGCCGTTATTTCAGAAATCCCTCTAAGACCTAAAGCTGATGTCAGCTTCCAGACCCAGAAGTCTGGGTTCAAGCCTGCCCCCCCCCACCCTCGAAATGCAAATTTCAGTCTGGGGAAGGAACTTGGTGATACCCTCTAGCCCGGAAGCAAAATGGCCTGTGTTCTGGATGAGTCATAGAGTTTCTGACCCGAGGCAAGTCTTTCTGTCCTGCGTGGCACCCCCCTTTCTTACCTGAATCTTGACAAAGGAGCCTGTAGTTCTGGGGAAAGACCTGCACTTGGACTTGATGGTGCGCAGTTGCTGGGTGTGTGAGGCCCATGTAAGCGCTAACTTAAAATCACGCCAGACCAGATGGACGTTTATTACGTGCACATCATGGCTGGGGTCCGTGGGTGCATTTGGAATTGGATCTCAGGTGGATGTGGCCTCAGGATCCCACAGAGAGCGAGTTCAAGGTGTTGGGAGATGCGTGCGCCTCTGAACGAGACCAGGAAGGCTCATGGAAGGGGTGAGGTGTAACAGTCATTTTAAGTTTTGGGAAAATGCTTCCAGTTACGGAATGACTAAGGGCGGTGCAAGGTATGGCACCAGGAATAGAGTCATCGGTGTGTGACGGTGTCATCTGGTGACAGACCGTAGCTATGTGAGGTTGTCCGAGAACTATGTCGGATACCAGAAATGAATGTACGATTATGGATCTGACCCGAGATGGATGCCGATTAGCCTTCAATAAAGAAATCACAGAAAAGAGCAGAGTGCCTATTTGGGGAGGAGTCAGGTACTGCTTGGAAGAGGAGCCGAGGTGTCCCCACCAGGGCCAGGGCCCCAATGAAGAGCTGAAAGCGTGCCCTCGCATCTGAAGACTGGATAAGAAAGAACTTTGAGACGCTGTAATGTGTCGCTAAAATATGAGCTGTCATTATTCCCCCAAAGGCCCCATCTCACCCTCAGGCTAACCCAGGGAAAGGGCAGAGTCTGCCTCCCACAGCAGAGCCCTGATTCCAGCCAAAGTTACTACCCACTTAAAGGCAACCCAGGACCGCTGCTGGCCCAGAGCATGCTTGTACAAATTGGAAAAGGCCTATCCTTGCCTTTGTTTTCCATGACCCTCCCTCACCGTGCATACTGGGCACCCACCATGAGAAAGGGGCACAGACCTTTTGGTCTGTGGTCAACCGGCTGCCTCTCTCTAGCAACGCTGTCCTCTGCTGGAAGTTCTGCCACGTGTTTCACAAACTTCTCCGAGATGGACACCCAAACGTGAGTTCTGGGGCTGCAGGAGATGGCTAGGGGGCCAGGGAGCCATGTGGGGAAAAGGGGATCGCCGGGGGCAAAAGGGGCGCTGTTTACTCTGGCACAGAGAGGGGCAGCTGCCCCCTTCTCCTGGCCTTTATTATTATTTTTTTAAAGATTTTATTTATTTATTTGACAGAGAGAGACACGGTGAGAGAGGGAACACAAGCAGCGGGAGTGGGAGAGGGGAGAAGCAGGCTTTCTGCCAAGCAGGGAGCCTGATGCGGGACTCAATCCCAGGACCTTGGGATCATGACCTGAACCAAAGGCAGAAGCTTAAGGACTGAGCCACCCAGGTGCCCCTCTCCTGGACTTTAGGCTGATTAGAGGTGGACTTGTCTGTGTGGTCTGCCCTTCTGCCCACCCCAGCCCCGTCTTACGCCATCCTCTGTCCCGTTGTTTTCTTTTCTCTCATCAGCTGTTTTCTTCCCTCTCCAGGTCCTGAAGGACTCCCTGAGATACAAAAATGAATTGAGTGACATGAGCAGGATGTGGGTGAGTTTGGAGATGCACCCGGGGGCCACCTGCACCTGCCTCTCCTTCCCCAGTGCCCACAGAACAAGGACTGTGGAATGGAATGAATTCATCTCTTTCAGTTTGCTTAGGATTTCTCTCCTGAGCATCGAGGAGGGGATCAGCAATGGCCCCCAATAGTATCATGATATCCACAGTCTTTCCTGGGGGCCCTGAAGCTGCAGGGAAGTTCTGGGGCCTGGGAGTGTTTCCTGCCAATGGAACCTCATGCCATAACACTCTCCAGGCATTGGGGTCCCTCAGCAGTGACTTGGCCACAATTCCTGTGTCTTTCTTCTGCTGGTCCCATGCGGGTCACAGAACACTGAGAACTAGCATTCCCAATTCTTAATCTCGGTACCTTTTCTTTCCCTTTTTTCCTGAGAATCTAGGGATTCTCTGTGCCTCACGATGGGAGAGGAGGTAGGTGGTGGTATCAGAATCAATTAGAAGAGGTTTTTATGTACACGCTAGAATCTCTAGATTCTGCTGTCCACAGAGTATGTGTGTTGACAGCATGGAATCTGCATTTTGAAGACTCTCTCAATTCTGATACATCTCTTTGCCCCACTTGTTGAGAGCTCTGGCCCTTTCCTTCCAATTCTTTTATTTTTTTTTTAATTATTTATTTATTTATTTGACAGTCAGAGATCACAAGTAGGCAGAGAGGCAGGCAGAGAGAGAGGGGAAGCAGGCTCCCCGCTGAGCAGAGAGCCCGATGCGGGGCTCAATCCCAGAACCCTGAGATCATGACCTGAGCTGAAGGCAGAGGCTTAACCCACTGAGCCACCCAGGCGCCCCTCCTTCCAATTCTTACCTGCATCTGTCTGCATTCACAGAATGTTAGCAATGATGTCATCCAGGGCACCCACTGCTGATAATACAGGCCCAGAGGGAAGCAGCCTTTCCTACGTCAGGCTAGTGGGTCTGAACAAAGCTAAGAGTTGTCCCTTAACCTCCCAGGTGCATGCTGGAGAGCTTTTGCTTGTATCTCTAAACATGGAAAGCGTGGGTCTTCTCTCTTGTTAGAATTTGCTTGGTGTCTCTTTTCCACCCTTTTACTTTTGACATTTCTATATTCTATGTCGTAGAAAAGTCCCTTATAAATAGCATTTAGTTGAATATTGTTGCTTTTTTCATGATGGCAGTCTTTGTCTTTTAGCTGCACATTTACCCCATTTACGTGCAAGGTATTTTTAGATTTCTGTCTTCCATCTTAGCTTCTGCTGTTGGCCTCTTCTGTTCTGTTTCTGTTTCTCTTCTCTTCTTCTCTTCTTTCTATCAACTGGTTATTTTTTTCTCATTCCATTCCGCCCTTAAACTAGTTAGGAGATTGTTTTTAAAACTCTGCTTTTATTTTTTTACTCTTTGGTACGTTATCCAATAATTACAGAATGCATGTTTAGTTTATCAAGAGCTAAAATTCATGTCTTTGGCTGTTTCCTCTGTAACGCATACCTTAGAATATTTTCACTCCATGCCCTCCCTCCAAACGGGTATGTTATTGTTGTCATGTATTTTAATTTTGGTTTTGTTTTTCTTTTTAGGTTCTATAAGATAATTTATTTTAATCATTTTTATTCTGTGCTCGCTCTTTCTTTTCATCTGCGTTCTAATATCTGGGATCGCTTTTCCTCTGCCTGAATTATTTCCTTTAGTGAGAATCTCGTGGTGGCAAATAACCAATTTTACTTGTTTGGAATGTCTTTATTTCACCCTCTTCTGTGGAAGATACTCTCCCTGGGTTTAGGATTCTGGGGTAACGGTTATTTTCTCTCAGCATGGGGGCAATATTATTCAAGATACCCTTCCACTGACTTCTGGATTCCATTATTTCCATGAAGTCGGCTGTCAGATTCACTGTCCCTTCTTCGAAGCAAATCTGCTTTTCCTCTGGTCATTTTTAAGATCTTACTAGGAAGAAGTGCAAATGTATTTTGGGATTCTTTAGATTTCTTAAATCTGTGGGGTAATATCTTTTGTCAGTTATGAAAAATTCTCTTTGTCTCGTCAACTGTCCCTTTTGCTCTATTCTGTATTTCCCCTGAGACTTTGGTTATGACGGTCTTTCCTGCTCTATACCCCAGTGCCTTTTTTTTTTAAGCACTACATCCAACACAGGGCTTGGGCTCATGCTCAAGAGATCAAGAGTTTCATGTTCCACCAACTAAGCCTGCCAGGCACCCCCTCATCCCATGTCTTTAAACCATGTTTCTTTGTTTTTTGCCTGTTTGCCTCTTAACTGCATTCTGGATAATTTCTGTAAATCTAGCTTTCCGCTGGGTCTAATCTGTTGTTAAACCTCTTCATAAGATTTATCATTTTATTTATTTATTTTTTAAAGATTTTATTTATTCACCTGACCGACTACGAGCAGGCAGAGAGGCAGGCAGAGAGAGAGGAGGAAGCAGGCTCCCTGCCGAGCAGAGAGCCTGACACAGGACTCGATCCCAGGATCCTGGGACCATGACCTGAGCCGAAGGCAGAGGCCCCAACCCACTGAGCCACCCAGGCGCCCCAAGATTTATCATTTTAATCTAGCCTTTATTTCTTGGAGTTCTTTTTTGTCCCCCAAATCTGCTTGTCATTCTTTTTTTAAGATTTTATTTTTATTTATTTATCTGACACACAGAGAGAGATCACAGGTAGGCAGAGAGGCAGGCAGTGGGGGGGGGGAGCAGGCTCCCCGCCAAGCAGAGAGCCCAATGCGGGGCTCAATTCCAGGACCCTGGGATCATGACCTGAGCTGAAGGCAGAGGCTTTAACCCACTGAGCCACCCAGGTGCCCCTGCTTGTCATTTTTTGTGATTTCTTGTGTCTTACATGTATTTTGAAACAGCCTCTTATTATCCTAGATAAATTAGACATTGATCTCATATATTATTTCTTATACTTCCATTATCTAAAGCCCTTCAAGAACCGTTCCTGCCATCTGTTGTTTTTTTTGTTTTGTTTTGTTTTTAACATTTTATTCATTTATTTGACAGAGAGAGATCACAAATAGGCAGAGAGACAGGCAGAGAGAGAGGAGGAAGCAGGCTCTCCATGGAGCAGAGAGCCCGATGCGGGGCTTGATCCCAGGACCCTGGGATCATGACCTGAGCCGAAGGCTGAGGCTTTAACCCACTGGGCCACCCAGGCGCCCCCATCTGTTGTTTTTGATGAATGTTGTTTATGCTAAGGAGTTTCTTTTTGTGCTTCTTTTTAACTGTACATTGTTCATTTTCCCAGGAATCTTATTTGTGGGAACTCTTTCAAGTCAGGTTCTTCTAGAGAGAATGGGCATTTGAGATCACTGTAAATTCTCAGCTTAGGGTTTTGTGAATTCCAGGCAGATCCCCTTGAGTTTTGGCTCCTGCTCCAATTCCCAAGAGTAGTTTTTCCCTCCCTCTGATCACAGCAGTGGTTTGAGGTCCTCAGGGAGGACTCCTTTGATGCAGGAGTGCTGGGATCCGTGTTATTTCCAGTTCACCCTTCGTCCCCCTACACCAGGGAAGCAGTCTTTTCCTCTTCCACCAGACTCTTCAAGGTGGGCAGGCCAGAGCCCTGTCTCCTATTCACCACCTGGTTCCCGAGGCCCAGAAAAACCAAAGTTCAGTTCACCTGGTGTGGCAAAACCCCTGTCCCCACCAACTCCATCACCCCGAATTCCACTTACTCCCCTAGTACCTGCTTGGACTCAGTCCCTGGCCCGAGGATTCCTTACTTTCTCATTAGTTCATTAATGCCTTCAAAAAGAAGTTTTAAATATTTTACCCAATATTTTCGTAGTTTTCAATGGGAAGGTTAACCCAGATACCTAGCCCGACTTGTTATCCAAACTCGAATTCCTTTAGGCCTTGCTTCCTGTGGAGTTGTCTCTTCCATTTGGCTGAGAGTTTCTGGATATTAGAAGCCTTTTTATTTTTATTTTTTTTAAATTAAGACCTCATTTTTTTAAAAGATTTATTTATTTGCGAGAGAATCAGGGAGGGGCAGGGGGAAGGGGAGAGAGCGTCTCGAACAGATTCCTCACTGAACACGAAGCCCAATGTGGTGCTCGATCCCAGGACCCCAAGATCACGACCTGTGCCGAAGTCAAGAGTCGGCCACTCAACGGACTGAACCACTCAGACACCTAATTTTTTTTTTTTTACAGCAAGTTTTAGGTTCACAGCCTCCAAACACGTGTAATGCCCCCGTTTATGAACATACCCTGCCAACATAGTACATTTGTTACAAGTGATTCAACTTCTCTGATAACATCATAATCATCTGAAGTCCGTGGTTTGCATTATAGTTCACGTGGGATGTTGGACATATACTCTGCGGCTTTGGGCAAATATATCAGGACTTGTACCCATCATGGTGATACCGCACAGAATAGTTCCACTGACTCCAAAGGTCCTCCGTGACCACCTGGTCATCCCTCCCCGCCTCCCCCAGCCCTGGTAACCACTGGTCTTTGACGCTCGCCACAGTTCTGTCTTTTCCAGAAGGTCATGGAATGGGAATCCTACAGTATGTCGCCTTTTCAGACCGGCTTCTTTCCCTTAATAACATGCGGTTCAGGTTCCCCCATGTCTTTTCAGGTCTTGATAGCTCGTTTCCCTTGTAGTGCTCAGTAATACTCCGTTGTCCGAAGGGACCATAGGTCACCTACCCATTCCCCAACTCAGAGTGTCTTGGTTGCTTCCACATTTTGTTTTGTTTTTTTAAGATTTTATTTATTTATTTGACAGAGAGAGAGAGAGAGATCACAAGCAGGCAGAGAGGCAGGCAGAGAGAGAGGGGGAAGCAGGCTTCCCGCTGAGCAGAGAGCCCGATGTGGGGCTCGATCCCAGGACCCTGAGATCATGACCTGAGCCGAAGGCAGAGGCTTAACCCACTGAGCCACCCAGGCACCCCTGCTTCCACGTTTTGGCCATTATAAATAAGGCTGCCGTAAACACCCACGATCTGTTCTGGTTTGGATGTTCAACTCCTTTGGGTAAAAACCAAGGAGCGCCATTGTTGAATTATGTGGCAAAAGTAAGTTTGGTTTTATAAGAAACTGCCAAACCATCTTCAAAAATGGCCGCAACATTCTTCATTCTCACCAGGCAATGACCAAGAGGTCCTGTTGCCCACATAGTGGAATTGGGTGTTATCAGTATTCTGGATTTTGGCCGTTCTCATAAATGTGTGCTAGTGCCTCCGTGTTGTTTTAATTTGTGTTTCCTGGTGACATGTAATGTTGAGCATCTCTCCATTTTATTTCTTTGCTATTTTCTTTGTATGTCTTCTTTGGAGAGGATGTCTGTTAAGGTCTTCGGCCCATTTTTTAAAAATCAGGTTGTTTGTCTTCTTATTGTTGAGTTTTAAGACTACCTTGTATGTTTCAGATAACAGTCCTTTATCAGGTGTGTCCCCGTCTGTGGGTTCTCATGCTCTCGATAGTGATTTTTCCAGACGTTTTGTAATTTTAATGAAGCCCATCTTGATGATTGGTTATTTCGCTCATGAAGCATGACTCTAGTCTATCTCAAAAGTCATTGCCATACCCAAGGTTGTCTGTTACCTCCTATGACTTTCATAGCTTTACGTTTTACACTGAATGATCCATTCATCTTCTGCCTTCTGATCCTGGTGCATTTTCATGTGAAATAGGGTTGTCTTCGATGAGGAGCATAGTTTCGCTTTTTCTGCTCTCCACTACTTTCTAATTTTTCCATGATGAACAAGTACAATGTACAATTATGATTTTCCATAGAAAACGAATACATTAGGAAATAATCTGATCTCTGGCATTGATACTTTCAGACTCCTCTGATGACCCCGCTCCCTCTGGTGCCCCTCGAGGCGTGTTTCGGGGTGGGGGGTTCCTCTAGTCTAGAGGAGGTAGAAGTCAGAGCTCAGCTCAAGAGTTCTTCGTGCCCCCTTCCTCTTTTGTGTGCAGGTAAGAGTCTCGAGCATCACTCTGCTAATTCCAGCGTCTTCCTGGGCACCCAGGATGTGACCGCGTGGGCAGATTCCACAGGAAGGCTTGTTTGTCCCCAGCTGGGATCTGTCCCATTTCAGTCCCCATCCCATATAAAACCCTCTAGCTGCCCTCCGTCAGCTGGAATCCATCTGGAGGAGCTGTTTCCTCTGCTGTACTTAGAGAGAGAGACAGGAGGAAGGAAGCAGCCTGTGACCAGACTGTGATTACTCTGGGTGGGAGACTTAAAATTCTTACATCAGAAGCCTTGTCTAGAATTCATGCAAAGTAAGTTCTTGTGTTTGTACACAAGATTGTCCTGTAAGAACAGTCATTGAAATATAGCTTATAGTAGAAAACATGCCTACGGCTAAGACTTACAGCGGTAGGGAGTTCGTTTGATAAATTACAGTACTCACTCAATAACAGTTTAAATAACAATTATATTTTAAAAAAAGAAATAACAATTATATATATTGTATGTATATATAACAATAAATAACTCAGTAACAATTTAAATATCATTAAAAATATCGCTAACCATAAAGAAACAAGAAAATTTGAAAAGGTAGGGAAAGAAGTGAAGTATATTAAGTTAAAAAATGGGCTCCGTTTTATATTTGAGAATAAAGGTGGAAGACAGAGGATTTTTAAGGCAGTGAAACTATTGTGCGTGATACTGTAATGGTAGGTACGGGACGTTATCCATTTGTCAAAACCCGTAGGATGTATCATACCGAGAGTGATTCCTGATGTAAGCTTCACTGTGAACAATGATGATGTATCAGGGAAGGTTCGTCAGTTGGGATGAATGTCCCACTCTGGTGCTGAAGTTGACGAGTGGGGGGCGGGGCATGGTTTTATACACGTGGAAGAAGGGGGTGTATAGGACATCCCCGTACTTTATTTGGGGGTACCTGGCTGACTCAGGGAGAAGAGCATGTGACTTATTTTTTAAGATTTTATTTATTTGAGCGAGAGGGACCCTGAATGGGGGAGGAGTAGAGGGAGAGGGAGAAGCAGGCTCCCCACTGAGCAGGGAGCCCGATGCGGGGTTCCATCCCAGGACTCGGGATCACGACCTGAGCCAAAATCAAGAGTCAGATGCTCAACTGACTGAGCCACCCGGGCGCCCCAAGCATGCGACTCTTACTCTCAGAGTCGTGAGTTTGAGCCCCATGTTGGGTGTAGAGATTACTTAAATAATAAAACTTAAAAAAAGTCTATTGAAAAATTGAAAAAAAAATTTAAATAAAAATAACATGTACTCCAGAATGTTCGCCATGATTCCTTCTCGTATTTAGATTAAGGGCAGTGCGTTTGTACGTGTGCTTGTCTATATCTTCTAAAATTTTCTGCAATGGCCGTTTCTTTCAGAAGCAGAAGAAAATATATTGTTGAAAACAGACATCTCGGCTGTCAGTCTCTGCCCCAAATGTTAGTATTGATACCCTGCTTTCTGTTCGTTTCCCGAAAGGGCCACCTGAGCGAGGGGTACGGCCAGCTCTGCAGCATCTACCTCAGACTGCTAAGAACGAAGATGGAATATCACACCAAAGTGAGTCTGCCCCCCCACGGTTCTGCCCGCTCCTCTCCCACGGCCCCCCATCCCCACCCCGGCCATCCCTGTGAGCCGAACTCTCACGCCTTTCCAGGAATAGGTTGGCCCGGGCCCCCATCACTCAGGGAGCGTTTATATCCTATCCAGTGAGAGGAAGATGATAGGACAGCTGCTGTGGGACACGGGGCTGGGATTCTGGCCCACATCTTCCGCACCCTCTTCTCCATTTTGCAGAGAAGGGCCCCAGCCCGCAGGCTGCCTGAGGAAAATGTTTCAGAAGCATTGCCTTGACTATTAATAAAAACAGCCCCTTTTAGGTACTGAGTTCCCACCCAGAGCCTTCTTTTCGGCCATTGGTGGCCTTAGACGGTATTTCTAAGGTGCTGAGTGCAGCTAAAACCATAAAGTTGGGAATCAGGTGGCACGTAAGGATATGTAGAAAGAGTCTGCTCGTCCGGAAGTGCCCGGGACCATCATGGGGAGGAGGCCCATGTACCTGCGGCAGTGAGTCACCCGGCAAAGAGGCCCCGGGAGCCTGTAGCAGAAGCCAGAGGCCTTCGGAGCTGATGCAGGGCTGCGGCATCGAAGGGGAAGATGAAAGGAGAGGGCAGAGGTGGAAGGTGGAGGGAGGGTGTGGATGGACCAGGGTGGGGAGGAAGGGGATGCTGGCATTGGAAATGCCGAAGGGAGGAGATTCATCTCTAAGTGCCTGGGGTGGGGAGTGGCTCTGAATCACAGACCCCATCCTGCTGTGCTCGCCCGTCCTGTTGAAACCGCACCTAGGAAGGCCGTGTTCCTCTAGCCTAGGACCCAGAAACTAGGAGCCTGCTCCAGGGTCTTGCCTTGTCGCACAGCTCCTCGGTGATGAGGCGGGATTTGAACTCAGGCCTGTAGGGCACGAAAGCCCCTGCTGCTCCGTGGGCAGCCTTCCCTCTGCTCGTGTAGAGCCCGGTGCTGGCCGCAGCCCAGAACTGGGTCAGGTTCTGAAGAGAGAAAGGTGAAGGGACTTTGGCCCGGCCTCCACGAGTCATATTGGCTTGGGAGACAAGCCAGGCCAGTCCGATGAGGACCAGAACTGGTACAGGAGCTTGTAATGGGGTCCTGCGCCCAGACGGGATACCTGAGCCCACCCCCGGCTCAGGGGCTGTAACACCAGCAGCCCTTGGTCATCTCTCACACCTCCGTGGGTTGGGAGCTCCAGAAGGGCTGAGCTGGGCAGTTGAGCGTGCAGGTCCCGCAGGCGGACCCAGGCCGGTGCTGGCTAGAGCTGGGACAGCGTGGAGCTGGCCTGGCATCTCCCTCCTTGTGAAGGCTCCGTGCAAGTGAGAACCCCCTGCAGCCTGGCCAGGCTCCTGGGAGAACAAGGTAGAAGTGCGTGGCATTCATTTGACCAGCCTCGAAGTCACAGAACATCCCTTCCACTGCCCTGTATGGGCTGAGGCATCATGGGGGTTCCTGGTTTCAAAGGGATGGGACAGGGACCACACCAGCCAAGGTGAATGTCAAAGTCACATTGTAGACAGCGTGTCGAACCGGAGAGGCAGCCAGTGCTGGACGTACAGTCTGCCGGTCTGCCCTCTGACCCCACAGTTTGTTCCCCGCCCTCCCTCCCTCCCAAGGAATACACCCACACCCCAGACCCCCAAATCCTTGTCTGCCACCTTGCAAAGAGAGCGGAGGACACAGTGGCCGTTCCAGGCAGAGGATCAGCCTCAGACAGAGGGCTTGAGGCCTAGCACAGTTTGGGGTTCCTGAGGGACGGGCCGCAGATCCACATCAGTGTGAGGAACAGGCTGGTGGTGGGGGGCGGTGACCAGGCAGGTGTGTGAGACCCTCCCACTCAGAGTGGAAGACGGTGAGAGCCAGATTAGGACGGTGGTCCTGGGACAGGCAAGAATGGTAGGGTCTCTCTGAAGACTGGCAGGAGGGGTGGGGGGCAACAGCTAGGGAGATGTGGGTCCCATGGGAAGGACCTGGGTGATCAGAAGCAGCTCAGGGGCCCAGAGAGGCCGAGTGAGGTCACGGGCTCTCTGGACTCTGAGCTCCGGGAGGACAGAGGACAGTTGTGTGTGTCTCCTCGTGTCCTGGGTCCTGCCCAGCATCTAGCCTAGAACAGGGCCTCAATCAGGACTCCTTGGATGAGGGACAGAATGAACCAGAACCTAGATCGGATTGAATAGCGCATGAGGAGGGCTGATCCTGAGTCAGGAGAGAGAAGCTGGAGAACGGAAGGACAGCTGGTGGCACATTCAGAGCGGGGAAGGGAGTGGGAAACAGGATGCCAAGGGATTCTGGTGATGTAAGGAGGAAGGCACATGCCAGGGTGGTGGTGTGGGGGCCAGGCACCCGGTTCGCTGGAAAGGGGAGCCCACTGCTCCAGCAGCAAGGACAGGGAAGGGGCCCTAAGGCTGGAGAACACGATTCAAGGGGACTCCAGCTGTGAGTCCTTCTCAGGGACATTGGTAGCTGGTCCTCGCACAAAGGCCCAGGGTCACCAGGTTTTGCCAGTGGTGTGGTGTCCAGACCGAGCAAGGAGGTTAAATATGGCCAGATGGGGGCGCCCAAGGAACTGACCGACTCTTGACATTCGGGAGCTGGGGTGGTGAGGCTGCCCACAGGAGCGGGCAGCCAGGAGGCGGGCGGTGGATTTCTGTCTTCAGAGCCCAAAGTGTTCTCCATGGAACTGAGACCTCCCTTGACGTCTGCACCTTTCCCATTGTCATGAGTTCCATCCATTCCAGACGGACCGCACTGGGGAAAAGATATTGATACCGATGATAATGCATAATAGTCTTTCCTGATTTGGGGGCCACATGGCGTAATGTTTTCCTACCTCCAGGATTGTTTCATTATGTTTCCCTAAGGTCAATATGAAAATGGGTTTGTCTTCCCTGAGCTCACAGTGGCAGGTTTGGGAAGTGGCCCGAGGACAGAGGGAAGCACGGGTGAGGGCCAGTAGCTGTGACGCTGGGTCTCGCAGCAGGGCCAGCGAGCATCTTTAGAAGAATGTCCCAGAGCACGAATTGTTAGGGCCGAGCCCTGCCTGGCTCCCAGGTGTGGGACGGAGTCTTTCCCTCTGATGACAGGTAGTGGCTATTCTCTGCTGGAGCTGGTCAGGGGCTCTGTGGGCGCCGACACGGCCCCCGAGAAGGGTGTTCGTGCTGCCTGAGCAGAGCCATGAAGCCTGCTGCTGGCCGAGCCGGCTTGCCTACTGTCAGCCTGAGATGCTCTGTCCTGACTTTATTCCTCTGCCTCCCTTTCCAGAATCCCAGGTTCCCGGGCAACCTTCAGATGAGCGACCGGCAGCTGGATGAGGCCGGAGAGAGCGACGTTAACAACTTGTGAGTGGCTGTGGACCCAGCAGGGAAGAAAGCTCCACGTTGCCCCTCTAGCTGGGGTCACACGGGGCCTGGTGGCAAGGGCAGTGGCTGGGCTGTTGGTGCCTCATCCAGAATCCCTCCCAGGCTCGAATGTGTCACCCTCTGCCCTCCCCACCCAGCATGGCACCTGCCCTCCCCTCTGCCACCACTGTGGAATTCACCCTACGTGATCTTCAGATGGCCTTAAGACCCACGTGGGTGAGGGCTAAGGTTCAGGCATGTAGCGGTGGGTGTGTGTGCGTGCACACGCCCACACAGAGTCAGTGACACAGAGCAGGGCAGAGGGGACTGAGGAGGGGCTGGCCTCAGGCTTTGGAACATAACCTCTCTCTCCTCTCCTGTCCAGTTTCCAGCTAACAGTGGAGATGTTTGACTACCTGGAGTGTGAACTCAATCTCTTCCAAACTGGTGAGTCTCTCCCTCCCATCTGACCCAGGCTCTCATGGGAATTGCCTAATTCCAAGCTTTATTCCCGGCTTGGACCAGCCGTCCTAGCCCCCTTCTCCCTCCAAGGTTGGGCCGCACAGGCCAGGAAATGGGAATGTCCACACCCTATCTCCGATCTCCTCGTCCCTGGCGCGGGGAGGGGCAGGAGCTCACGGGTGCCTCCAGAGTCGGTGATTGCATTCTGAGCGGAACAACCATGCTGCCCACCCTGCAGGCCTCCCAGAGCCCAGAGGCGGGTCTGACCTCTTTGATAACCTTTGGACGGTGACCCCAGCGCTGGCCAGTGCTCAGTCTGCCACCAAGCTGGGCTGGCACTCGGGTTAGATGGCTGCTCAGCATGGGGGGCTGCCGTGTGCCGTTTGGCCGGCAGCTAGGGTCGACCAGCTGGTCGAGTTGAGCTGTTGGCCAAGTCCATGTGAGAGGCCCACGAGGCCCCTTTCCACTAGCAAGGGGAGTTGGGCCACCCTTCCAGTCTCCCTTCGCTGAGGGTTTCGGTGCCTCCCGGCTGTCAGCCGCCAGCCCTTCCCTGACGTAAATCAGGAAGGAAGCAGTCCCGTTCCCTTTGCTCTGGCGTCCTGTCTTCCCACACCTGTCAGCATGGCCCCCCTTCTCTCCCGGGGAAGAGTAGAACCCGTTTTCTAAGATTCAAGATGCTCCACGACAAGTATCCAGCCAGCGCTGGGCCAGGGCAGCAAACGCCTTCGTACTTCGGCCGATCGGTTCAGTGCTGGATGTGGGAGGCGATCACCACAGCCAGCTGGGAACCGTGGTTTGTAGGGGAAAGAAGAAGGTCCTTGGCCTGCTAGCAACCTTCTTCTACAAAAGTTGATAGAGAAGTAAAAATGAAACACCAGATAGAGTCCCTACCTTAAGGTGTTCCCAGCCAGGTAGGAGAAATGGTATGGTTGCATTTTTTTAAAAAATTTTTTTAAAGTTTGATTTAATTATTGTAGAGCGAGAGCACAAGCAGGAGGGGCAGAGGGAGAGAGAATATCTCCAGAAGATCCCTCGCTCAGCATGGAGCCCAACTTGGGGCTCGACCCTACAGCTCATGTGATCTCGTGACCTGAGCCGAAACCAAGAGTCGGACGCTTAACCACCTGAGCCACCCAGACGCCCGTACATGGCTGTCCTTATAGGCGTGGATCACTTGTGTCGTCAGCACTGGACGCTGAGCTCCCCCGCCCCAGAATCAGGAACCATGTCCTCCTCATCTTTGAATTACTTCCCTCCGTTCGAGCCCGGTGTCTGGTACATAGCAAGTGCTCAGCGAAATTCAGGAATGTGTGCTTCGGGTAAATAGCAGTGATGAAAGGATAGGGGGCCAGTGCTCGTAATCAGTATCAGTATCCAACCCAATGCCGTGGGCCTGTCGGGAGTGAACCAGCCACTTTTGCTAGAGTGGAGCTACCCCAAGTCTTGGCACAAACCCCAAGATCATTAAGTGCGGGTGGCTTTCTTGCCCCTGAGCCAGCGTTGGTTTGTAATCAAGAGCCCTCTACGCACTGGTCCCCCCACTCCCTCTCCTGTCCCCAGTTCCCCACTGTGTGCTGCGGAGACCAAGGCAGCTGGTATGGGAAACAGTCCCTCCAGATTCTGAGTCCTAGTCTGTGACCCTGCGAGGTTCCCACCCATCCCCTCAGGTACCCTTGGTTTTTAGCTTTGGGAAACATGAGCCAATGACATTTATTTCCAGCACTTGAGACAGTTCTCCAAGAGTGGTCCCTGGACCAGGAGCATCAGCATCTCCTGAGAACTTGTTAGAAATGCAAAGGCCCAGGTGCTGCCCCAGACCTCCTGCATCTGAATCTCTGAGGTGTGGCCCAGCCAGCTGTGTTTTAGCAGCGCTCCCCCTCCCCAGCCAGGTCTACACTGTCCAGTATGGTCTCCACGTCCCATTGGTAGCAGTTTAATTATATTAAATTAATTACATCGCATCTATTTAAATAAGTTAAAATTAAATAACCTTTAAAAGTCAGGTCCTCGGCTGCACTGGCCATGTTTCCCGCACCCGGGAACCCCATGTGACAACCACAGTGGGCAGCTCCGGGAGACACTTACGTCTGTCGCTCGGTGTTCCCAGCTGATTCCGCTTCGCGCTCAGCTAGGAAATAACAGCGTTCAGCCCTGGCTGCATGTTAGAATCACCTGGGGGGGTTTGATACCTACCCATGCCCCAGCCCTACCCAAGACCAATTAAAACAATGGGAGGAAGGGGAGTTGCAGGAGGACACTGGATTTTAAGTTTCCCCAGGTGATTCTAATCAGTCTCAAAGCCAACACCGAGAACCCCCGCGGTGCTCTGCGTGTCCCACCGCACTGCCCTTGGATGCGTACCAGACCTTTTTTGAGGAATGCACTCTTAGAACCCCCTGCGTTTTACAGAAAAGCGTCTGGAGGCACAGAGAGGTTGAGCAACTTGTCCACGGTCACACTGCTCTAGATGTTACCGGATGCCAAGGGGCATTCCTGGAAAGCGACAGGCAGGCTGGAGGATGGAGCCGTCTGTGATTCCTTGCCAGAGCGGAGCCCAGAGAAGCCAGTGGACTTGAGGATGGCCGCCTTGCGGTGACAGCTGCTTTTAATTTGTGTCAAAAAGAAAAGCTGCTTTTTAATTAGAACTGTTTGGGATTTTTTTTTTTTTTCTTTTTTTTCAGCTGCCAGAGTAAGCCGGTTAACAGGGATTAGTGCAGTCAGAGAAGGCTGAGCACAGCCACTCTGGGCTTCCATCTGGGGCCGTCCCGCTCGCTGATTTTTCTCGCTGCTGCCTGCCGTGGTCTCCGCAGGTGGTGGGTGGCCACTACGGGAACAAGTTCAGCTCCGGCCAGTGGTGTGCACACTGAGGGTCCACGGCCAAGCATTTGGCTGCTTGATTTTAGAACAAGGGGTACGGGGCGTCCGGGGGGGCACACAGTCAGTTGAGCATCCAGCTCTTGGTTTCGGCTCGACTTGTGATCTCAGGGTCCTGGGATTGAGCCCCACGTCAGGCTCTGTGCTTTGTGGGGAGTCTGCTTGAGAGTCTCCTTCTGCCCCTCCTGCTTGTCCTTTCTCCCTAAAATAAATAAATTCAAAGAAAAGGAAAGAAAAAAAAAAAACAAGGGGTCGGGGGCAGAGGGTAATGTGGAAGGGGGTCTTCGGAGCAAGACAGGGAGGGAGCAACATGCCCCTCTGGAGCTCGAGCGGGTGGAGGGCGGTGCTTCTGCTGACCTGCCCCCCAGGGACCAGCGACAGCCTTTGATCCTGACGGTTCGTCCTCGGCAATCCCCCAGGGACTGTTGCACCAGTCCCCTTCTGGTGTCCCAAGACCCTGTGACAAGCCCCTAGGAAGCCAGGGCTGAATTACTCCCTCCTCCGTGTTCTGATCAGTGTTTGCCGTTTTCCCGTGTGATTGCCTTCAGGGGACTCGCCCTGTTTCTTCCCCTGCTGACCTGTCCCACGGGGGTGTTGTAAGGGGTAGCTGCGTCCGATGACCTAGACCCCTGCCTTCTGCCACTCCGAGAAAGTCACCTGCAGTTTCCTATCCCCTACTGCCCGTGTCGCCTTTTCTTCCCTAGTGTTCAATTCCCTGGACATGTCGCGCTCGGTGTCCGTGACGACAGCCGGGCAGTGCCGCCTCGCCCCGCTGATCCAGGTCATCCTGGACTGCAGCCATCTGTACGATTACACCGTCAAGCTCCTCTTCAAACTCCACTCCTGTGAGTACAATGGGCCACATCTCCTCCGGAAGGAGGATTACAGCGGAGGCTGTCCCTTCTGTGTCCTTTCTGCCGCTGCTCCCAAAGGCCCTAGAGCTCCCAGCCCCCTTGAGAGTGAAGAGCAGGGCACAAGCTTTGGTGTGCCCATGGAAGCCCCTCGTTCTCCATAGCCATGTATTGGGACCGTTCCCCGCTCCCACCACCTCTGGCCTCACCACGTCCCTGTCCGCACATGTCACGTATCCCAGGACCCACATGAATGACGATACCAGACCCGACCGGGACCCACGGGCACCCGGGCAGCGGTGTCCAAAGTGTTCAGCCGCACAGCTTCTCTGTACGTGTGGATTTTGTGGGGAAATAGAAAATGTAAAACAGCTGCTCTTGTACCTGGGGGGCCGGCCCCTCCCCAGCCACAGAACCCTGGGATGTGCTCGTAGATTCTCTCCGGGAAGCCACTGTAGAACTCTTTTACACTTTCGCGTGCTTCTTGTTCAGGACAGTGCGTGTGGGTCCTCCTCCTGCAGGGTCTGCTGCGGGTGGGTCCAGTAGGTTGGGGGGTCTGCGTGGTGGAACCATCTCCCAGGTGAAGCTGATGTGGGTGGTTTCTGGGTCACACTCAGAGGCTTTCCCCAGGAGGGATATACATGTGCAGGAATGTATGGATGATGGAGAACCGAGAAAACTCAAGACCCGAGTGGATATTAGCAAGGCATTATGGCCCTGGCAAAGGCACAGGGATGAATGTTGGCAGACAGGGACAAGGGATACTCTAGAACCGTGGTCTCAGAGAAGTGGGTCTGATTATCTCAGGGGGGGACGGGAAGCAGCATCATCCAGGATCATCTTGGGGAAGGGAGGTTGGAATCGGATGTTTAAGCGATAGGAAGGCTTTGGAGCAAGTGATTGTACCTAGAGGGACAATCTAGGAGATTGTCCTAGAGAGTGGACTGAATCCCAAGGGAAGAAAGGCAGTTGTCCTCCCCAATATATACTTACCTAAAAATAAAGGTTTCATCTTAGAATGGTTTTAGATCTACAGAAAAGTTGTGAAGATCGCTGAGAAAGTGCCCCCAGGCCCTGAACCTAGTTTCCTTTATTATTAATACCTTACACTAATATGATGCGTTATGATGCATTTGTCACAACAAATGGACCAATACTGAAAAGTTATTTTCAACTGAAGTCCATACTTCATTCAGATCTCCATGGTGATTACCCAACGTGCCATCCAGGACACCACATCACACTGACTCGTGTCTCCCTGGCCTCCTCTTGGCTATCACAGTTTCTCGGACTTGCCCTGTTTTTCACAACTTTGACAGTTCGAGAATTGGTCGCGCTCTTGTAGAATGTCCCCTGATTTAAGTCTGCCCGAGGTTTTTCTCATGACTGGACTGGGAGTAAGGGCTCTAGGGAGAGAGGCCACTGAGATAAAGTGCCATCGTCACCTTCTGTATACTGGGCATTTTGAATTATGTTATACACGTACTTCTTTGTACCAAATAAATGTATCATCTATTCAAAAATTCCTAAAATGTACGTTTAAGGACTAAAACAAGAAATAAAGGGATCACTGAGTTGTGATCTGTCGTTGAGGTACGCAGCGTCATGCATTCTGGGAAGAAGGGACCTTAGAGAACCTGCCCTGTAGGGGAGGAGGCTGGTCTAAGAGTCCTCTTGCCATTGGCCGTGACCAAGTGAGCACTGGATGGGGATCCAGAGTGTTGTCCTACAATCTTTGCCTTCGGACAGGCATCCTCTCAGGCAGGCTCTGTGGGTCCCTCACAGACTAACGTCTGGACCGAGAAGTGCACGTACATCTGGGAGATGTAACTAACTGGACCGACCCAGTGCACGTACATCTGGGAGAGCCACCCCTCTGCCACCTGCTGGGGGTCCATCCTGCTGTTTGGCGTCTACCGTGGGGCACAGCTTCCAGTCCACTGCACCCAGAATGGCTCATGCTCCAGGGATAAATGGACAGATGTGGAGGATAAGCGCCCTTAGACTCACCACTGCCCCTTCTGGGCCCCTTTGGTCACCAGTCCCTGTCCCTGGGGCAGCTCGAGGCCAGGAATGCCCGCACCCCCTGTGGGGCTGGCCGCAAGCCCCCGCATAGATGGTTTTCTCCCTCCGGAACTCCGCGTGGCTTGCCTTCTCACCCTTCCCAATTCCCTTCTCACCCTTTCCCAATTTCTTCCAGGTCTCCCAGCTGACACCCTGCAAGGCCACCGGGATCGCTTCATGGAGCAATTCACCAAGTAAGTGGCTTGAGTGAGAGAATCAAAGACTGTAAACACCCAGATGTATATGTCTGGCTGGCTGAGCCTTGCCTCTGAATTCCAGTCTCACGCATCCGATGATCTGTCTTACATCTCAGACCGAGCACTGGGTTTTCCTCCCCCAGACTTTTTCTCCCGGGGCACCTCGGTGGTGCAGTTGATTGAGCGTCCAGCTCTTGGTTTTGGTTGTGATGATGGGGCTGTGGGATGGAGCCCCTCGGTGGGCTCAGCGCTCAGCAGGGAGTCTGCTTGAGAGTCTCTCTCCCTCTCCCCCTCTCACTCATGAGCTCGCTGTCTCTCTCAGTACATTAAAAAATCAGTACATTAAAAAAACACAAAACTTTTTCTCCCTGGCCTTTTCTATCTCAGTAAATGCTACCACGTGCGTTGAGGCCAGAGATCTGGAACTCACTGTCTTCCCCCCTCACGTCCAGTCCACTGGCACATATTCTGCTCGTTTATCTTGGTTCCGATCGTAGCTGGCATCTCTTGGGCTCCTGTCGTTTTGTGCCCAGACCCTCCAATATGGCAGATGCCCTGGGCTTCCACTTCTGCCCCCTGAAATCCTGTCCCCCACCCCAGCCGTTAGAACAACCTTGTAAAGACGTCTTTCCCTTGGTCAGACAGTGGCTTCTGATCACACTGATAATCAAATCCAAGCTCTTCTCCATGGTTTACAAGGCCCCGCTTGCCGTCTCTGACCTCGTCTTTAGAGCTTAGGGTGTTTCTGCTGCACGGGGTCCTTTTCCAGTTCCTAGAACGTTCTCAGCTCATTTCTCCATCAGGGCCTGCCTTAGCGACTGTGTTCTGTCTCCTCGGCCGGCTCTTCTCCCAGCCTGGTGTGAGACAGAGAACCCAGGTGCCGAGAAGGGCGCTGGGGCTCAGCACTCTCTCTTTGACCCTCTTGTTTTACTCTTACTTTCTTCAGCCCTAACAACAGAGAAAAAGCCAAACCGCCAAACCCCCAAGCCCAGACTTCTCTTCCTGGTTCCCAGGCAGTAGTCAGAGGCCAAGTTCAGGGTTGTGCTAACCTCCCGGTTTCCTTATTCCATTTGAAAAGCCTTATATGTTTATTCTATAATAAATGACTTATTAAATCCTAGGAGACAGGCCCTGGGGCTGATTTCCTGGAATGGTAAATTCCAGTAGCTTATGAAAGCAACGCAGCCTATTACCGTTGGCTCCAGCCCAGAAACAGGGGGGGTGTGTGGTCAGGTGATTTTATTTCCTTTCATGTTTTTCTAGCTTATAAAAACCTCTCCCATGAGCGGCTCCCTCACTTTTCTTGTTGGCACGGACCTGGCGGCTCCCTGAGGCCTCGGTGTCCCCAAATTTGGGGAAAGCACCAATGACCTCAGAGGGACAGTCCCAACTTGGGGTTGGAAGGGCTGGCATGAGACCCCAAGGGTTCAGTGTATTGGGCTGAGCTGGAGGAGACTGTGTGTTGCAGGGAGAGGGCACAGAGACCGACAATCCTCTTTCTTCTCAGGAAATCTATCCTGTGCTCTCTGCTTTCCTCAGCCTTCCATGTTTTGATTCAAAATGGGGACCCGAGGAGGAGAGGGAAATTTGCTTTCTTCGTTCCCATAGCCTCCAGGATTGGGACACAGTAGAAATGGATCGGTTTTCTCCAGCGAGGTCCTGATGGGTTAATTTGAGTTAATGCATCTGTGCGTGGTGCTGTGGCAAACCCAGCTCAGCGGGGCTTAGTCCCTGCGCTCTAGAAGCTTCTAGTCTAACTGGGGAGATAACACAGAGATCCAAAACAAAGGGATCTCCCTCAGGAATGAAGTTCCCTTCCCCATTGCTGTGGTTAGGACAGTGAATGTATTTTCTAAGCCCAACGTTCCCGGGAAGACACCCGCCAGGCAAAAGCATCGATTCTACAGAGATGCCGAAGTTTGTTCTTGGGTGACCCTCTCTTCCAGAGGGTTTTGCCCTTTGACTAGCTTTTTCTCATCACCACATAAGCAAGCACGGGCTACAGATAACCTCCCCCTGCAGCATCACAATTGAATCCCAGCGCCATGGAGGTCATCTCCTTGACAGCCCCCACCTTTGGGCTGGGCAGTCAGCAGGACAGCTGGGGAAGGGCGGGGGGCGCTGCGCTGTCCCCGACCCCGGCCCCCAGCACCCCTCAGGCCCTTCTCCATCCCCAGGTTGAAAGATCTGTTCTACCGCTCCAGCAACCTCCAGTACTTCAAACGGCTCATTCAGACCCCTCAGCTGCCGGAGGTAAGCACACGCGGCCCCGCGGTGGGAGCTACTAGGTCCTGGGTGCTCTCAGATCTCAGGGACGGGCGGGCCTGGCGGGTGACATGGTTTGAGGGTGTGTCCTCCGTCTTCAGAACCCACCCAACTTCCTGCGGGCCTCTGCGCTGTCGGAACACATCAGCCCTGTGGTGGTCATCCCGGCTGAGGCCTCCTCCCCAGACAGCGAGCCCGTCCTGGAGAAGGATGACCTCGTGGACATGGACGCCTCCCAGCAGGTGAGGAGCACCTGACTGGAACCTGAGGGTTAGGGTTAGGGTCATAGAAGGGGGCGAACCCCGCGTGAAGCCCCTCGAGCTGCCCCGTACATGCAGCAGAGAGGACGGGAGAGGCTCTGACAAAGACCCTTCGGCCATCACCAAGCTGGACCTGTCGTCGTCTTCTTTTTTTTTTTTTTTTAATATTTTATTTATTTATTTGACAGACAGAGATCACAAGTAGGCAGAGAGGCAGTCAGAGAGAGGAGGAACCAGGCTCCCTGCTGAGCAGAGAGCCCGATGTGGGGCTTAATCCCAGCACCCTGGGATCCTGACCTGAGCCGAAAGCAGAGGCTTTAACCCACTGAGCCACCCAGGCACCCCTGGACCGTTCTTCTAACCCAAGCGCTAGCCTAGACTCAGGCCCTGTCCTGTGGTCTCTAGGAGGGACCCCAGATGGACATGAACCCAGTTAAGAAATGGCCCCCTTTTTCTACATCTATCTCCTCTGACCCCCGCACAGAAGTCTCTAGATCTCTAACTTTGTCCTCACTCCTTTCTGGTCACCGCAGAATTTATTCGACAACAAGTTTGATGACATCTTTGGCAGCTCGTTCAGCAGCGACCCCTTCAATTTCAACAGTCAGAACGGCGTGAACAAGGACGAGAAGTGAGTCTGGGCTGGGCGCAGGCAGGCAGTGCAGAAACTATGTGAAGCCGGGGGTCCCTCTGGCCACCCTCAATCAGGGCGGGATGCTTAGCGACACTTGGGCCCTGTAGAGAAGTGTCACGACCCTCAAATATCGTCCCCTGGAATCCCAGAGGGAGATTAGGTGAGGCTGAGCTAACCCGTGGGTGTTAGATTCGGATCTGGTAACACGGAGGGACTTAGGGTATAATTGATGGAATTTCAAAGAACTTCCCCCATATTAACACCAGCTCTCAACTTCCTCCCCTGCTCTCCCAGCTCGCATTTAGAAGGAAAGGGATGGAAGGAAAGCGCAGTGGAAGCAAACTTGTTCTCCTTCTGTTCCCAGGGATCACTTAATCGGTCAGCTGTACAGAGACGTCAGCGAGCTGAAGGCACAGCTGGAGAACGTGAAGACGGAGGTATGAGTCGGGCCCTGATGTGGTTCTGGGCTTCTCCATGACATGACATTTTCATGTGAAACTTGCATTGCAGAGACACTTGTCAGACCCCATTTTAAGGTGGGGGGTGCGAAATAGAAATGCAAATAGAAATGCGAAAGCCAGAAAGACCTGATCCTCCCGCAGTCTTGGTGGTGCTGCATTTCCGTCATTCCTTCCTTGACAACGGCTTCTGAGCCAGTCCCTGTGTCCCTGTGGTACTTGGAGAGAACCACGATCGCCAGCTGGCTTTGAAGCCAATGGTGAGAAAGGCCTGTTCCCCTCCCATGGCGATCGGAAGGTCTGGTGGCTGTTTGCAGGGTCTGGGGCAGTAAACAGGACTGCCCTGCAGACCCATGGCTGGCAGGAGGCTTCGCTCACAGGGACAGGCAAACATCGCCTCCTCCCCCATGCCAGCTTGTCCAGGATTGCTCCCAGGCCACTCTAACAGACCAGAGCTCCCCTGATGTCACCCTTTGTTGGCCGAGTGGCCTGGAATGACCAGAAGCCTCCACTCTGGTGAGGCCCGGTCGTGGGCTTGTTAGGCACACGTGGGTATTTATTTGATCGGTCCTAGAAACCGGGAGGACCCGCTTCTCCTGCCCAGCCCAGCCCAGAGGCAGGGTGCTGGGGCTCACCGCTGAGTGTGTCCTGCAGAGCCAGCGGGCCGTGCTGCAGCTGAAGGGCCGGGTCAGCGAGCTGGAGGCCGAGCTGGCGGAGCAGCGACACCTGCGGCAGCAGGCGGCTGACGACAGCGAGTTCCTCCGAGCCGAGCTGGACGAGCTCAAGAAGAAGCGAGAAGACACGGAGAAGGCCCAGCGGAGCCTGACGGAAATAGAAAGTGAGTCCGTTAGGCTGGGGCTGAAGGTGGGAGCCGCAGAGTCATGCGAGGCTCATGGGGAAGGATGGGGCTAGGCAGCAGAGCCCCAGTCCCGTGTCCGTCCAGAAGAACCATCTGGAAGGACCTTGGTGTCACCAGTCAGAGGGGTGGGTGGGAGCCCAGACAGGGGAGAGCCCCACGGGGTCAGAATGTGGGGACAGGAACCAGGAGGTGACAGTAGGGTGCCTGCCTGGGGGAAGGGGTATCCGAAGGAGAGCTGGCCTAAAGCCAAAACACACCAAGTGTGCAGAGCTCAGGAGGCATGGATTAGTGCTGCGATCTAAATCCGGGGGTGGCGGGGGGGGGCTTTTTTTTTTTTTTTTTTTTTTTAAAGATAACTGTCCAAAGGAGTTTATTTCAGTAGGATTTTCAAGGGCAAAGAGGGTATCTGCATTTGTGAAAAGAAAGAAAGGTGTCCTAGGGACTCTGGCTTATGGGAAGGCAGGCACAGGGTCCCCAGCAGGGGACTGCTCACCTTGGCTCTTGACCACATAGGGAGAGCCCAAGCCAACGAACAGCGGTACAGCAAGCTGAAGGAGAAGTACAGCGAGCTGGTACAGAACCACGCTGACCTGCTGCGGAAGGTAGGACCCTGCCCCGTGCCGCTGGGGACACCGCAGCTCCGTGCCTCTGCCAGTTCCGAGCGAGGCACCATCCTCTCATGAAAACCACTGCTTTTTCAGGCTCGCTGGCCTTCCATTTCTTGACTTTCGATGCCAGCCCCGATTGGATTATTCCCCCATCTTTATTATTCTTTTATTTTATTTATTCATTTATTTTTAGGGTGAGATCAGGCGGGGTCAGAGGGAGGGGAAGGGTCAGAGGGAGGGAGAGAATCCCAAGCAGGTTCCATGCCCAGCGCAGAGCTCGATGTAGGGCTCAATCTCACAATGCTGAGATCATGACCCGAGCCAAAATTAAGACCCAACTGAGCCAGCCAGTTGCCCCTATTCTTTAAATACTTGAGCATCGAGCGTCTAAAGATGACAGCTCTCTTCTGGCTTCTCCCTGGGTAGAAACGTGATTTCTGTGTCCAGCTGTCTGAACACTGCCCTTTGTTCTGGAAAGGGGAGAGGCTGTCTCTGAGCTATACAGCCCAAGATGAGCCAGTACAAGACACTGTTCTTCCCCTACAGAATGCGGAGGTGACCAAACAGGTGTCCGTGGCCAGGCAAGCCCAGGCGGATTTGGAACGAGAGAAGAAAGAGCTAGAGGATTCCTTCCAGCGCATCAGCGACCAGGCACAGCGGAAGGTGAGGGCAAGGAGGAGTGCGCAAGGGTTTAAAGGCTTGGCGCGATGACACGGCTCCTGCCAAGCGGGTGCATCAGCAATGGCTTGCCAAGGGCGAGTCTAGGACGGTTGAGAGAAGTAAAAGCACCTGGATTTCAGAGAGAGACATGAACCTTTACGAGCACTTGGGGCCGGGAGAACACCCATGAGTTGGTGGGGGTTGGCAGGCAGGTCCATTGCAGTAGGACATGTTGGAGGGAGGAAACTAAATGCCTTACACTTAAGAGTCGTGGCTTGCGTGCTTTTCTGTAATTCAGAGTAGGAAATAGGGTCTATTTAATAGAAGTAAAAATTTCACGAAGCAATTCTCCTCCTTAGTCTATGGGTGTGTTTGGATTTTTTATTTTTTGCTCTGTTTATTTCATTTTTTAATTTTTTAATTTAAAAAAAATTTTTTTTAAGACTATTTATTTGAGAGAGGTAGAGAGAGAGATCACAAGTAGGCAGAGAGGCAGGCAGAAGGAGAGGGAGAAGCAGGCTCCCCGCTGAGCAGGGAGCCAGATTCAAGGCTCGACCCCAAGACCCTGAGATCATGACCTGAGCCGAAGGCAGGCGCTTAACCCACTGAGCCACCCAGGCGCCCCTTAATTTTTTTTATTTTTTTAAAGATCTAATTTTACAAAGGTTCGGGGGAGGGGCTGGCTGAAGGAGGGAGAGTCTTAAGCAGACTCCGCGCTGAGCACAGAACCCCACGCCGAGCTCAATCTCACAACCCTGAGATCACAACTTGAGCCGAAACCAAGAGTCAGACACTGAACAAACTTGGTGCCACCCAGGTGCCCATTTATCTCATTTTTTTTTTAAATGTTAGCTGTGAATTCTAATGGGTTGCAACCTGCTCTTTGAAAAATAGACTTATGAGAGAAATAAAAAGAGTGGTTTCAAGATGGTAAGATTCAGCATCATACCAGATGTTGGGATGTCTGAATTAAAGATCCAGCTCTCGGGGCGCCTGGGTGGCTCATTCATTAAGCATCTGCCTTCAGCTCAGGTCATGATCTCGGGGTCCTGGAATGGAGCCCTGCATCAGGCTCCCTGCTTGGTGGAAAGCCTGCTTCTTCCTCTCCCACTCCCCGTGCTTGTGTTCCCTCTCTCACTGTGCCTGTCCGATAGATAAGTCAAAAAATCGGGGCGCCTGGGTGGCTCAGTGGGTTAAGCTGCTGCCTTCGGCTCAGGTCATGATCTCAGGGTCCTGGGATCGAGCTCCACGTCGGGCTCTCTGCTCAGCAGGGAGCCTGCTTCCTCCTCTCTCTCTGCCTGCCTCTCTGCCTGCTTGTGATCTCTCTCTGTTAAATAAATAAATAAAATCTTTAAAAAAAAAAATCAAAAAAGATCCAGTTCTGCATCAATTAAATTTCAATTTAAAATGTAAAAAACACTTTTCTATCTATAAAAAAAAAAAAAATCTTGTTCTATTGAATTCAGTATTATAAGCAGAAGCATGACATTTAGGAAATGTCCCTGAAATTCTCCCTTCGATCTTCCCACTTAGCCAGAAGAAAATCTTCTGGAACACTCTGGATTCTTGCCTCCTCCCACCCACTTTTGGTTGGATGCATCCAACCTTGCTACAAGAGGGTACACAAATCTCCCATTAATAACTTGGGGACTATTTTGAAGATTTTATTTTTAAGCCGTCTCTACAGCCAACATGGGGCTTGAACTCGTGACCCCAAGATCGAGAGTTGCACGCTCTGCCGACTGAGCCAGCCGGGCTCCCTGATAGCTTAGGGATTTTTGTATGTGTTTTTCCCTGGCAACCACCACCCAGACGAGAGTGCTCCTGGTTTTTTTTGTCTTTCAGACTCAAGAACAGATGGAAGTACTAGAGAGCTTGAAGCAAGAACTTGCCACCAGCAAACAGGAACTCCACATCGTTCAAGGCAGTCTGGAAACTTCTGCCCAGGTGAGCATCACGTTCCTTCCCGCATTTTGTTCCCGTCGTGCTCAGCGTGTACCTGGGGGAAATGAAGGTGGGGAGACCTAGAGATACCGCCTCTGGTTCCGTGTAGCCTGCTGGCGGGTCTGGACTCCTGGGAAGTGGACCATTTATTTCTTGATCTTGAACCCTACCGACATTGCAGTCAGAGGCAAAGTGGGCCGCCCAGATCGCTGAGCTGGAGAAGGAGCGGAGCAGCTTGGCGCACGCCGTGGCCCGGAGGGAGGAGGAATTAGCAGCCCTACAGGAGCGGCTGGACCACACCCAGGGGGAACTGTCCCTCGCAAAGGCAAGTAACCAATGCCCACCTCGTTAGCGGTAGCTTGGGTTAAGGTAGCTTGGGTTAAGGATGCGAGGAATCCCAGCTGTGTGGAGGTGGACGCTGCTCGAAGGCTCGTGATGGAGTCTGTGTCCGATTCTCACCTCCCTGGGCCACTTCCAGGAATCAGCGGGCCAGCTCGCCAAGGACCAGCGGAGAATGCTGCTGGCGGAGGCAAGGAAGGCTGCGGAGCAGGTGGTCCAGGAGGCCCTGCGGCAGCTGGAGGAGCCACCTCTGATCAGCTGTGCCGGCTCTGCAGGTACCTGCCCCTTGCCCGCCCCCACGCGCCAACTCAGCGGTCAGTGCTGACGTCCAATCCCACATGACACTGAGCTCGGGGGTCCTCCGCCTGCTGCACGGCGATGCCCAGGCTCTGCGCTAAGATCTGTTCAGCCAGAAGCTCAGCTTAGGCGGTAGAACTTTCTAAAGCCCCCAGGGGTGATACCACAGCTCTGTGCAGCGGGTCACGCTGATGAAACTCTCACTGGGAGCAGAGCCCTGATAGCGAGTGTAAGCACAGGGGGTGGGGGAGCCGACGGCTCTGCCGCTCTCTGAACAGAAGAACGTGGCCTGAACGACGAGGTGGTTGCTCGGGAGCCTCGGGCCCACACGGGGAGCATCGTGAACGTGGCGCGGCAGGAACGCAGAATTCCCATGCCGTCCTGGGCATGCGCAGGCCCACTCTGCCTGTTCTGGAGTCCTAAGGGCGTGCGGGTGGGGCATCGGGCAGAGCCAGAGAAGCCCTTGGATGAGAGAAGGGGCCTCAGATGTGGCAGGACAGCCAGGCCCGAGACACCGGTGGAGTCACGGATGCAGCTCTGAAAGGGCCCATTGAGGACAAGCAGGGGGAAGGAAACGCTGAGAGCTGACTTTCCTTATCAAATAGAAACGTCTGCGGGGCGCCTGGGTGGTTCAGTGGATTGAGTGTCCGACTCTTGATTTTGGCGCAGGTCACGGTCTCAGGGCCTTGGGATCGAAGCCCCGGTCAGGCTCCGTGCTCAGCAGGGAGTTTGCTTGTGATTTTTCTGTCTCCCCACTTCCTCTGCCCCTCCCCGCCTGCACACGTGCACACTCTCTCCCTCAAATAATCTTCGGGGAAGAAAAAAAAGAAATGTCTCCATTTGGGGATGTCCACGGCAAGGCCTGCTCTGATTCAGCAGGGAACCCATCTGTAGGGGAACACAGCGGTCTCAGAGGAAGGAGCTCACTGAGTACCCAGTTTTCTGAGGGAGTGCCAGGAAACGGGGCAGCCGTGGGCAGATTCTGAGGAGAGACTTTGTGAGCTGGGCTTAGACATGAGCCAGTGGAACGGAAGAACCGGGGGGCCGAGGGGGGGTCACACACACAGCTGACGCTCCCAAGCGCTCGCCATGTGCCAACCGCCGTGGTAAGTGCTCCACATGCCTCAGCCCAGCGACTCCTCACTACGGTGCCGTGAGGGGGCCCCGTGACTCTGTTTCCACATGAGGAAGCAGGTGTGGACAGCCTGAGGTCGTAGCCACCGGTATGGATACACATGGGTGCAGTGTGACATGAGCCCTCATACTTTAACTCCTATGTGACAGTCTTTGGGGACCCGTGCCCAGAGCCACAGTGTGGGAACAGCTGTGTTGTGTGTCCAGCATGAGCCCAGATGAGCCTGACGGAGTTGAGAGTCTGGTCTCAACACTGACGAGAGTCTGAGATCCTTGAAAAACTTAGTGGGAAGGCCGGGATTGGATTTGGGCAGGTGGTCCTGAGAAGGGAGAGGCTGACTCTGGGCTGCGGATGTGGTTGCCCTGGCTCTCGGCAAAGGGACCATGTGAGCAGCTTTTGAGGTCCTGTACGAGCACAGTCAACCCTCTTCCCTCTGCCCCCCATCTTAGGGCAACTCCTGCAGGGCCCAGGCCACTCACGAGGGGGCTCCTCCATCACGTGCCTTCCCCTCCCAGGGAGAAAGCGAGTCTGACAACTCCGGCTCTGACTTGGCCCTGTCCCCCCCACCCCGCCCCTTCGCAGATCACCTTCTCTCCAAGGTCAAGTCTGTTTCCAGCTGCGTCGAGCAACTGGAAGAAAGCTGGAGGCGCTATCTGGCCTGCCCAGAAGGTAAGAAAGGTGGCAACAGGGTCTGTCGCTTGGTGACAGCTGGGTCACGTTCAGAAACGCTGGCGTGTGGAAGTAGTGACGGGTTCCTCTGCACCAAGAAAGGGGTCTCTATACAACTGGATGAGCAGGGAAGGAGGTAGGGAGGTAACACAGCCCTGAGCAACCCCCTTTAAACTCCTGGCAGCTATCGCTGGGCTCCTCCACTCGGTCACCCTCCTTGCCCACCTGACCGGGGACACCATGGCTTACGTGAGCACCACCTGCCTTCGAGCCCCGCCAGAACCCGCCGACCGTAAGTACTGGGGCCGGGGGGCGGGGCCGGGCCGGGCAGCAGGGAGGCCAGAGGCCTTCAGAAATCCTGGTCATTGTATCTCCAGTGCTGACCGAGGCCAGCAAACAGTTTGGCAAAGAAACCCTCCTCTACTTGGCTTTCCTGGAGGAGGAAGGAACGCGGGAGAACGACGGCTCCGCCATGAGGAGCTGCCTTACCAAGATCTCCGCCATTGCCGAGGTAGGAGCCGAGTTACTACCGGGGACAGCTAGTGAGTGCTGGTGACCTGCCTGGGACTCTGTGAGGTCCTAAGTCGGTTCTTCCCGCACTTTCCACTTGACTCGAGGAAGGGAGAGCTGGCCCTGAAAAATCTGACCCCTGAACGACTTTCCGGTTATATGTCACGCGTTCCCTGTGTTGGGAACCTGCTGCGTTTGTCACTGCGCTAAGTGGTATCAAAGAAGGATAAGAATAGTTTCTCTGTTTTCTAAGATTTGTATCTGGTTGGACAGGTTAATACCTAATGTGAGAGAACATTGTATTTATCGATTTAATAAAGATGCAGTGAGTACGTCGTACATCATGGGAAATGTGTTGGATGTAGTTGTACAGGGACAAATAAGACATAGTCTCTATGGGAAAGGAAAATAAGAAAATCACCCATTTCTGTACAGTGGGATGAGAGCAGTGATCAGCTGTATTTTAAGAGTTCAGTACAAGGCATTTACTTAATTCCAAAAACGGGTCATAATACTAAGTCCAGGGAATGAAGAGATGAGGGCCAGAGTTCAGATTTTCATCATCCCTCATCTAAACTCTTATAATAGCCTTCTGATTAGTTTTTCTGCCTCTGGCCTCTTCTTTCTCTGATCTCTTCCAAAAACAGAGTTCTGATTATGATTCCTCATTTGATAACAAAAGTCAAATGATGTAACGTGATACCCAAGGACTGTCACAGTCTGGCCCTTATTCATCTTCCTGGGTCCCTCCCACCCGCCACCTATACCTTGCGGTGTTGGTGGCTAGCGCTACAGTGTACCTGCCTACCTGTCTCTTTCCCCCATGAGTCCTTAAAGACAGAGCCCATGCCTTTTTCATGTTGTCCCCTTGGTCCCCGGCATGATATCTGGCAAAGCAGATAAAAAGATCAGATGGAGAAGAAGGTTCATACTGGGGAGAAGTGGGCAACTGGGGAGAAGTGGGCAACGAGGTAGGGAATCGTGACTCTGGATGAAGGAAGACTACGGATAACGGTGAATTGCTAACCTTTCTTTCACTGGAATGACGTGATCCTGGTGGTATTTTAGTGTTACTAAATTGCTGATGGTGGCCTAGGGAGTGTTACTCCTTTTGCTGGGGATATAGAGCATTTTCTCCAGGGCCGTGCAGAACTGAATCTCCGTACACACACGCAAAGTGTGTAAGACACCATGAGATGAGGATATAAGTTAATTTTACAAAGCAAAGCGTGAGAGGGAGATCCTGGGCGGGTTTCCTTTCTGGCAATAGGACTGACCAGATGTTTAGAAGCTCATCCCAGGACAGGACATGGAAAATGCTTAATAAAATTTGGGGAGAAAAAAATGTTAATTGAATCTAAATTGGCTGAAAACTAAGGAAATTCTCAGAATCAGAAACCAAAAGGATGCAGGAGCTAGTGTTTTTTCCATCTCTTGGCCTAGAGCTTGGATTTTAACGGACCACGCATACAGAGGAGAGTAAGAAACAAAACCTAGACTCAAATAGGGTCAAAGTTTGGAATGCAGAGACTTCCTTCCCAGAACAGAACTCCAAAAGGTCACATCCTGAGTGAACGGGGGAAAAGCCTACTCTGCTGGAGAGATCCTGTCTCAGTCTTGGTTATGGAGGCAACACGACCACCTAGGGAGTTTCTAACTACAGCCATCTATCGGTGGCTTCAGGGTCAAATTCTACTACCTGTATGGCCTGAAAAAGACCAAACAGAAAATTAAAGTAGTCAGGTAGTTAGGGGCCCAGGTACCTGGCAGACACAGATCCAAATGGTCTCTGAAGGCGTACGTATACTTTGGCTCTAAATCCCAAGGAACTTTAAAAAATAAAGTCCCAAGGCATGTAAGTTCACCATAAATGCATCTGATATGTTAAAGAACTTTTTAAAAAGTATTAAGGGTGGCAGAGGAGTAAGATATTTTCAAAAGTAACCAGATATATTCGTAAAACAACCACCGAACTTCTAGAAATGAAAATGACATCATTGAAAGTCACAACTTAGTATACAGATCCAACAGCAGGTTAAAACAAAGCTGAAGAAAGAATTAGTGAACTGGATGATAGAACTGAAGGAATTACCATAGACTATGGACCGGATTTTATGAGCTGGAGTATAGAAGTTAGATATAGAATGTTTAATTGGGGTTCCAGGTGAAGATACTAGAAAAGTGATGTCCTTTTCCCCACTAAGTAACATTTTTAGTTCTGTGTGTTACAGACTTTCATCTACACGTGCTTTTTCCAGCATTCTGTGTTTGAGTTTCTTCCATGCAGATGTGCTCATTTTCACTGCTCTGTAGCATTCCGTTGCAGGATTACCTCTCAAGTTCTACTTCTCTGATGTAGTATCTGTTCATATTTATTTACATATCTATGATAGAACTATATATCTATTGTTGATGGATGCTTGGGTTCTTTCCAGTTTGGGGCTATCACGAATGTGCTGTATGGTCACTCTGGGGCCTATCTCCTGATGTAAGAGTTTCGCTGGGGATAGAATTACCACATTATAGGATGATTCTCACACATGGACTACTGAGCAAATGAGCAGTCCTAGGAAAATACGTACAGTAGGATTCCTTTTAAATAAAAATCAAAACAGGATGCCTGGGTGGCTCAGTGGGTTAATTAGCATCTGACTCTTGGTTTCAGGTCAAGATCTCAGGGTCACAAGATTGAACCCCACGTCAGGTTCTGCAGTCAGTGTGGAGTCTGCTTAAGACTTTCTATTAAATAAATAAAGTCTTTAAAATAAATAAATATCAAAACATATGTACTTAACATTATAGTGGGCTTTTTAAAGATTTTATTTATTTATTTGACAGAGATCACAAGCAGGCAGAGAGAGAGGAAGAAGCAGGCTACCTGCTGAGCAGAGAGCCCGATGCGGGGCTCGATCCCAGGACCCTGGGATCATTACCTGAGCCGGAGGCAGAGGCTTTAACGCACTGAGCCACCCAGGTGCCCCAACATTATAGTTTTTAAGGATGCATTCCTAAAGAGTTTTTAAAAAAGACATAATAACCATTCTCTTGAATTCTGTGTTTATCTTGAGGTGGGGAGCAGGGTGGGTGGAGATGGAATTAGGGCAGACTACAAAGGAGATTTCAAAGGTACTGACCATGTTTCTTAAGCTTTTCCTGAAGTTGGTGGTAGATACTGGTCCTTTGTTCTTAGTCTTTAAACCATTTATACCTGTTTTATACTCTTGTAGGTATAACACATATTTTCAGAATTCACAGGCTTTGCCGTCAGCCCCCAAGTTATCCCTGCTCTCATTCATTAGCAGTGGGACTGGTGTCAAGACATTTGACCTCTCTGAGCCTTGGCCTCCCATCTGTAGAACAGGACTAGTAAATGCCTCATGACTGCTATGGACACAAAGTTCAGCAAGAGGCAGAGTGTCCAGTTGGAAGGCATCACCGATATTTGAAGATGTTTCTGAAATACCTCCCAGTGGGTGCCTGGGTGGCACTGTTGGTTGATTGACTCTTGGTTTCCGCTCAGGTTGTGATATTGGGGTTGTGAGATCGAGCCCCACATCAGGCTCATGCTCAGCGCTGAGTCTGCCTGAGATTCTCTCCCCCCAACCCCCATTATTGCTCTCTCTCAAATACTCAAATAAATAAATAAATCTTTTTTTTTTAAGATTTTTTTTTTTTATTTGACAGAGAGAGAGAGAGAGAGAGAGAGAGAGAGGCAGAGGGAGAAGCAGTCTCCCCGCCAATCAGGGAGACTGATGTGGGGCTCAATCCCAGGACCCTGGGTTCATGACCTGAGCCGAAAGCAGACACTTAACCGACTGAGCCACCCAGGCGCCCCATAAATAAATCTTAAAATAAAATACCTCCCAAGCCACAAATACAATACACTGTGCAACTATGGGGCAGGATCCAAGCAGCTACAACTGAGTGGCCTCGTAGGCTTAGGCAGGGATGGCTTTCTGGAAGGAGGGGAGTGGAATGTGAGGTTCTGGGGTTCACGCAGTGGCGAGTTCCAGACAAGGCCTGCACAGGAGGCCCCTTCGTGGATTCCAGCAATGTGTTACGTGATAGGGCCCTCCTCTCCTGCCTTCTGCCACGGGAGAACAGAGAGGTCAAAGGGTCATTGCAGCATTTGTGATGCTGTTCCCAGGAGCTCCTGCCCAGAGGCCTGGACATCAAACAGGAGGAGCTGGGGGACCTGGTGGACAAGGAGATGGCTGCCACGTCAGCTGCCATCGAAACTGCTACGGCCAGAATCGAGGTATGGAAGCATCTGGCAGTCTCCTAAAGTCAGGCTTTTGCAGCTTCCTTGTGGGGACATTGCCCATTGGATGTCTCTGACTTGTTCGTGAAGGCTCCCAAGGCCCCCCTCTGAGCCCACCCGAAACCCAAATTCCCCAGGATCCCCCAGGGATTAAAAAGTGAGAAGACCCTCCCCTACTTTGGTGTTGGTTCATCCGGCCTCACTTGGGATAGGTCGGTCCACGGAGCTCGCTCAGGTTCCGTTTCTGCATGATGGGGCAGTGGTAATAGGACATGCCTTGGAGGGGTGTGGTAAGAGTTAAAGGATTCAATGCACATTTATCTTCGCGGCGGGCACCCGTGCAGTCAGCAGACATGGTTGTCCTGGGGAAGAGCCGAGTGGGCGGCACTGGAAAGGTCCCATAACGTTCCTGGTAGAAGACTCAGTCTGCTCGCCTTGGTGCAAGTACCAGCCGGGGGAACCTGGGAATGGCTGTCCTCACCCCCCCTTCACTGGCAGGGTGCCACAGCCCTCAGAATTCTGTGCACACGTCAGCCTGTGATGGACACTCACGGACGGTAGAGTCAGCCTGCCGGGGCTGCCTCCCACAGAAGAGATCGGAAGTCTGGATTCTTGCCCCGACTCACCGGGGTGTGGATGGGCCCTTCTGGATTTGAGTTTCTCAGCTGCCCCAGGATGTCGGATACAAGGTGTCTCAGGTACCAGTGAATGCCCGGTATCCACCGCGTGTTGAGAAACCCTGCTTCTCTTCAACAGGAGATGCTCAGCAAATCCCGAGCTGGAGACACAGGAGTCAAATTGGAGGTGAACGAAAGGTCAGTCCGAGCCGTGTGAGGGCACCTAGGTGATGAGGATGAGTGTATCCCGCAGTGGATTATACGAATTAGAACAGTAGCCGCCACGGGCAGCGGCCAAGTCCGTGTACATGTCGATAATGGTGTTCTTGGGGATAATATCGCCGTTGCATTTTAGGGGAAGAGAAACCCCGAGAATCATCACGTAACTGTCCCCAGTCGGGTCTCCCTACTCATGTGCCTTTCCGGGAAGGTGTATTCCCCGCTGCCTTTCCCACCCCAAGTTTGCCTATGATTAGGCCTGAAAAGGAGAACAGATTCCTTCATTATTCTCGGTTTCTCTTTTGTGTGCCTAACTTTTTATTTATTTTTTTTCCTCCTAGGATCCTTGGTTCCTGTACAAACCTGATGCAAGCTATTCAGGTCTTGATCGTGGCCTCGAAGGACCTCCAGAGAGAGATAGTGGAGAGTGGCCGGGTAAGCATGGGTGAGGACCCCTGGACGGGGAGAGCAGACATCATTCACAGACTCCTGGTTCACCAAGAGGCTGCGTCTACTCGACACACTCATCCACATTCAGCGAAATCCGCGGGTGCTGCCCTCTCACGCCACGTGCGCATCTGAGGGCACACTGCCTCTCACACCGAGCATAGATGCCCATGGAAAGAAGCTAGGGCACTGCCGGGTCCCCAAGGGGCAGTCAGCCTCAGCCTTCAGCTGCTGGGTCATTAACCCAGGCAACATGGTGGGAACCTGCTCTGGAAAGCCCAGGTGCATTGCAAGCCTGGGCCCTCAGAGGAAGGGAGAGCTTTGGAAAATGGGGCAGATCAAAAGGGCCGGCCTGGTTCCTGACCTTTGCCAGTAGGCACAGCCATGTCTCCTTCCTGAGGCAGAGTAGCGGACAGTTACTCATAGACAGGCTGTGATTGAAGGGTTCACTGGGCTTTCTCCCTCCTCTGCTGGTGTTTCCTTCTCACACCCTGTGTGCAGCTGCCGCTCAGGAGGCGGAGGCCCAGGGAGCGATCCCGGAGCCAGAACACTATCCCGGAAAGAAGGCAGCCATCTCTGCTTTTTATCAGTGCTTTTTATCAGTGCCGAGAAGGGCTGAGTAAGGAGGGCCTGTGGCTTCCAAGACTAACAGACACTTCCACAGCATGAGAGTGTGTTGAAATCCCGAGGAGACATAATTTGCCTCATTTATTCACTGGGTTACTCTCTTCTCTTGGCAAATCGTGGCAAAGGTTAGACTCCTCTCGGATCACATTGTCCTAGATGCGTGTGAACAGATTCCGATTCTTATCTATACAACATGGAAATGGGGTACAAGAGAAATGCCACAGGCATTGGAGTCAGAGAAGCCTAGGGTTTACTTCTGCTTATCTCCTTCATGAACTTGGGAAAAGGATCTTTGCTTTTCTGAGTCTTCATTTGCCCATCTGTAAAATGGGATGATAATGCTTTCAGCTTGGGATTAGTGTGGGTCCCAAAGGGAGTAATGGGCTTAAAAGCACCTGGGGCATAGGAGGCCCTCGAGAAAAGCTAGTCATTACCACCTTTCACTTCCTTAGGGCACGGCCTCCCCGAAAGAGTTTTATGCCAAGAATTCTCGATGGACGGAAGGACTCATCTCTGCTTCTAAAGCCGTGGGCTGGGGAGCGACCGTCATGGTGTAAGTGTCTGTCACTCCTGGGGCTCCTCAGCCCCACTTCCAACTCCCTCGGCCCATCCCAGACCACAGCCGAGGGAAAATAGTCTGCTCCTTAGAAAAGAACTGTGGGTAGGGAAGTCAACAGGACTGAAAGTTAGAAAGGGAGCCTGGGTCTCCTGGGGTTGCGCAGGGGTGGGGCCAACAGGCCGGCTAGGCTCCCTGAGTAGCCAGGGTGACGGGCGCGATCTGGAGGTGGGATCGTAAGGGGTGGTGGCTGTCTGTGACATACTTTGCCTTGTCCCTTCCTGTCTACCAGGGATGCAGCCGATCTGGTGGTGCAAGGCAGAGGGAAGTTTGAGGAACTGATGGTGTGTTCTCATGAAATCGCTGCGAGCACGGCCCAGCTTGTGGCCGCCTCTAAGGTAGGACCTGCACAGGACCCCCTAAGGTCCGACGAGCTTAGAGGACACTCGGTCCGTAGTGCCTGTCCCAAAAACAGATAATTTGTCTAGGGTCCAGGTAGATGAGGTCCCAGGTTAAAATTCTGACTCTCAAAGGTCTCCTCCTACCCTCCTCTGAGAGCCTTTTCCTCAATCAGCAAGGAGCCCCTCTGCCCAGCTCGCTGCCTGGGCTCCTCTTGGCTCTCATGGCTTCTGTGACAAGTGGCCTTTGAGGGTCCCAGCCATGCCGACCTCTGATTAGCAATTAGGGCATTCAAGGAGCACTTAAATTAATTAATAAATTTATCAATTTTAAAAATTTTATTTAATATTTAAATTTAAATTTTTAAATTTTATTATATAAAATATATATAAAATTATATATAAATATATATAAAATATATAAAAATATTTTTTTTAAATTTTAAATTTAAATTAAATTTTTAAAAAATTAATACATTAAAGGAGCTCTTAAAAGGTCGGTGCCATGAGCTGGTTCCCTGGCTCAGCTCCGAGGTTCCACAGCCAATGTCTGATTCTCCTGAAGAGCCTCCAGATTCGAACCATTACCCCCAACTAATCGTAGTACAGAGTTTGTTGCCGAAATCCGGCTGTGAGTTTATAGTACCCCGGGGAGCGTCCTTATCATCCTTGTTTAATGTTGTCCCAAATTAATTTCTACAACTGGAACAATTTATCACAAGAACCAATAAAGCTAGAGTCTGAGGCTGTCAAGTAAATAAGCCAGGAGTAATTTTGCATATTAGAGATATGCCAGGAGCTGACCCTATAGGAGTATTTTTTTAAGATTTATTTATTTAGGGACGCCTGGGTGGCTCAGTCAGTGAAGCATCTGCCTTCGGCTCGGGTCATGATCCCAGGGTCCTGAGATTGGGGCCCCACATCTGGCTCTCTGCTCAGCGGGGAGCCTCCTGCTCCCCCTGCTGGTGCGCTCTCACTATCTCTCTCTGACAAATAAAATCTTTTTTAAAAAATTTATTTGAGAGCGCGAGAACATGCATGTGCCCACGTGGGAAAGGGGCAGAGGGACAGGGAGAGAGAGAGAGACTTCTCCAGCAGACTCCCCGCTGAGCGTGGAGCCTGATGCGGGGCTCGATCTCCCAATCCTGAGATCACGACCTGAGCCAAAAGCAAGAGCCGGACACTCAATGGACCGAGCCACAACAGGTACCCCTATAGGCAGCAATCTGGAAGAAGTCGATTAGCGACCGCAGCAGATCCCGTTATGTTTGTCAAGAACCGTTGGGACCCACTTATTTGACTCCGTCCTTGCCGCCGTATGCTCTGTGACCCTAACTCTTCTTGGTCCTGGCAGGTGAAGGCTGACAAGGACAGTCCAAACCTGGCCCAGCTGCAGCAGGCCTCCCGGGGCGTGAACCAGGCCACCGCCACCGTTGTGGCCTCCACCATTTCGGGCAAATCACAGATAGAGGAGACAGGTAGCCTCTCCGAAGCAGTGCTATTCGTATCCAACTATTTCAGCATTTCTTCATGTTCCGTGTTTCCCACAATCCTGTTTCCACATTCTCTCTCGTTCATCTTCTCCACACGTGTGCTCAACTTTCTCATAAGGTGGGACGCCACACACGCGTGCTGTTTGTGTCACCATAGCAACAGGGCTTAAGGTAGATTTTTCATTTAGCGATTTCTCTGGATTCAAAGGCATGACTCTCCAGGCCTGGTTGTCTCTGGGCGGGGCAGGACGGGGGTGAGGGGGGTGGGTGAGGGGTGGTCCAGTCCTCGTCTATCCATCCCTATCGATCCATCGGTGACTTTCTCACGTGTTTTGGGAACTAGCGAACCAAGCATTTCAGCAGAGCGCTGGCATCGGCTGCCTCTCGGCCAGGGGCGTCCCCCTGACGAGACCTTCCCTCTGCCCTTACAGACAACATGGACTTCTCCAGCATGACACTGACCCAGATCAAACGCCAGGAGATGGATTCCCAGGTAGGACTCCCCACTTCTGAGTCTGCTTGATCAGTTCCAGGTGACACCGATCCCAAGTATTATCCCCATGGAAAGAAGCCAGTGGGGGAGAGACTTGGGGTGGAAACAAACAGAGATGGACCCAGGAGCCCAGGAATGAATATAAATGACACTTGGAAGGGACAGTGGAGATGGAGACAGATAGCGGGTTAAGATCGGAAACTTAACCCTTGCTCACTGGTCTCGGACTGGTGTCGCCCTCACTGTTACCATCAGGGAATCTCCTAGCAGATGTCAACTAGCATTTAATGTCTTAACAATGGATGAGTTTTGTTTTTTTTTTTAAGTAGAGCTGACGTCAGTGTTACATTATTTTCAGGCGTACGCGTAGTGATTTGACAACTCTGTGTATTACTCAGTGCTCACCGCGATTAGTGTAGTCACCGTCTGTCACCATGCCACGTCATGACCCTGTTACTAACTACATTCCCAGTGCTGTACCTTTCATCCCCATGACTGACTTATCTGGTAAAGAACCTCTTAATCCCCTCCACCGTTCCCCCACCCTCTTCCCCTCTGGCCACCACCAGTTCTCTGTATTTATGAGTCCGTTTCTGTTTTGTTTTTGTTTTTTTGGCAATTTAAAAAAAAAAAAATCTGATATGAATTATTTCTGTATGACCTTGGTTTAAAGAAGAAAAACCAATTCACTGAGAACCCATCGAAGGCAATGCCCTTTCTCCTGGTTGTTTGTAAAGTTCTGGCGTGTGGAAAAACAGGAATCAGTGGGATCCTGAAAAAAAGACCTGACATCCTTGTTCTGGAATTACTGATCCCAGTCTTGGGTTCAAGTCCAGATGGAGACTGTTAAAGTCTCTATATGGGTCACACAGCATTTTTAGGAAGAGTCACATGACCAAATACTGAAAGGTCTGAGGTCAGGTGTGAGTCCCCGCCGTCTACACTGTCGTGTTTACTGGGCTCCTCCAGTTCCTCTTGATTGTGGGTTCCATCTCTATGCTGATAAGTACCAGATTCTTCTCTCTGGCCTTGATCTTCTCCTTGAGCTTTGTGATTGTCTAACTGCCTACTTGATCTCTCCACTGGAGGCCAAATATGTCTCCAACATAATGGGTCCAAACCAGGGCTCCTGGTTTCCCTCCCACCTAGATCTGCCCAACTCCTTGTTTTCTCTGCCTCAGTAACTGGAACCCCCCCACCCCCCGCCACACCTGGGTGCTAAGTCCTAGGAGTCGTCCTTAGGTCCTCCCTTCCCCCTCTCCCTTCTACATCCAGTTCCCCAGCAGGTCCTGTCAACTCCCAACTGTCCAAGTCTGAACCTTCCCCCCCCTTTTCCATCTCCCTAACCCAGCCGAAGCCACCATTGTTTCTCTCCAGAACTACTAGAATGCATGCGAGGATTTGTATCCACGTGGTCCCATGGCAGGGCCAGGTGGCAGGGCAGTTGGGGGCACAGAATAGGAAAGGGCATTGCTGAGACAGGTCCAGCCCTGGGTTGACGGTTGGAGGAACTCGGGGAAAGGCATATGATGGGGCTTACCAGATCATCCCCATCTCTCCATATGTTTTACATTTTTCCATAATAAAAATTTTAAAAAGAAAAAAAGGAACCACCTAACTGGGTCTAGTTGCTTCCACTCTCCCCACCCCCCGCCACACACAGTTTGTTCATGTTCTATGTATTTTTGAAAGCATAAATGACAGCATGTCACATCTCTGCTTGAAACCTTGAGGTGGCTTCCCTTTCTTACTTAGAGCTAACCCCCAAACTCCTAGCCCACTCTCATGACCCTCTCCCCTCTCATGCATCAGCCACATGGGCTCCTTTCTGTTCTTCCCTTACCCACCTGCCTGAATAGCGTTTGCTGATCACCCTCAGCCTTTATCACACGACCCTGTGTCATGTTCCTTACAGTCTGATCTGTTCTTGTCCGTGAGTTTGTGTCTTCCCCCCGCACCACCATGTATCCCCCACCTACCGCAGAGCCCGGGGTACGTGACAGGTGCTCAGCAGACATTTCTTGAATTAATAATCAGTAAAATGAATTAATGAGGAGTAGGGATAGCCAGGAACCAGCCTCTTCCTTGGTAAGACTGCTCTTTCCTGTATGATGATAACCCTAAGTTGTAAGAGCCCCACAGAGATACCAGAAGCATCTGAGCTTGGCTCTTGCCTGGATTTCCAGGAGAGCGGGACTGAAGCAGAAGGGGAACTGGTTGGGAACACGCCACACAGGCTAGATGTCAGAGCTGATTTCAGTGGGGGGTGAGATGAGCCCTACTCCCATTCAGGCGCTGGGGCTCTAACGCATCACCTTTAGGAGAGGGTCCGCATGAAGAAACGGAAGAGCCACTGGGATCTACGGGTGAATGAGAGAGGTTGGACGAAATCAGAGGAGGAGAGGGATTAAGTCAAAGGGAGACCGTTGTCAGATCGCCGCTCAAAAGAAAATTCCTCTCGTCCCCCAGGTCCGGGTGCTAGAGCTGGAGAATGACCTGCAAAAGGAGCGTCAGAAACTGGGAGAGCTTCGGAAAAAGCACTACGAACTCGCCGGTGTTGCTGAGGGCTGGGAAGAAGGTGGGCCTCTCTGAGGGCCTGCGTGGGCGCCATGAGGGGAGGGTGCGTGTAGGAGGGCCTTCCCCTCAGACGTGACAGAATGAGTCGCCCTTCGGGTCACTGACTCACAGAGTCTTGACTCACAGAACACGATTTCTTTTCAGTTGGAAACAACCTTCGAGCCCCAAAACTGGTATAATTTGAGGTGAATTGAAAGTTTTTGTTGTCACCTCTCAAGACCTTAACGTTGACCAGTGGACTCGTCACTCGCCGCCATTCCCTTCCAGGCCCACTTAGCCTGGCGCGCGTATAGTTGGGTAGTGAGCAAATGGATGGCGGTCAGTGAAAAGCCAAGGGGATTGCAGGTCTGACTGACTAGAGCCAGCAGTGAGGAACAATGGCCCATGAGAGAAAGGGTCAGGGGCTAGAAATGGCCCAGAGAGGCATTGTCACCCAGAGTCTGCTGCTTTTCCACATGCCCAAAGTGGCCTACTCGATCACGACCAGGACTGCCTGTCCTTGTTGTCTTGACTGACTCTGGGAGCCAACCACAGTTGCGTACCAGTTGTTCCCGGACACGTAACTCAGGGAACAGACGGTTATGAGCATGAGGTATCGGGGAGCCCAACGTGGTGGCTGTTTTTATGGGTGAAATGAGTGTGTGTGCATGTGCAGTGCTAGGAAGCAAAAATTATCATTGTCAGGGGCGCCTGGGTGGCTCAGTGGGTTGAGCCTCTGCCTTCGGCTCAGGTCATGATCTCAGGGTCCTGGGATCGAGCCCCATGTTGGGCTCTCTGCTCAGTGGGGAGCCTGCTTCCCCCTCTCTCTCTGCCTACTGTGATCTCTCTGTCAAATAAATAAAATCTTAAAAAAAAAATTATTCTTGTCTTTCAGGAACAGAAGCCTCTCCACCTGCATTGCACGAACCGGTCGCTGGAAAAGAATAGAGCCACACCGACGCCCCACACGTCCGAGTGTAAATCTTGTGGCCCATCTGTGTGTGTGTTATTCCCCAGCCATGGCCTAAGCCTTGGGGTTGGGGTGGGGAGTCCCGGTGGCAGTCACACCACCCCCATTGTCCAGTGCCCAAGACCCCAGTGGCCTTCCACAGAGGAGTGGAGGACCAGAGCCACTCCTCACAGAGAGGACCTGCCTCCCTGCCCTACCTGCCGTTGGACCCCTAGACGCTTAGCATCCTCGTCCAAGGAGCTGGCTGTTTCCGAGATCCCTGGTGGGGGGGCACCTCACGCCTTTTTTTCTCTGTTTTCTCCTCAGCCTTTTCTGTTTCACCATCTGCACCAACTCATGAGCGTCAGAGGGCTGGCGGGGCTCCAAGCCAGGACGCCGCCCTACATCTGTGCCGACAGAACAGCAGGAGCGTCCTGGCCGAGCACGCCAAGGCAACTGTCCCCTCTCTTGGCAGTCCCATGGGTTTCCCGCTGCTTCTTATGGTGGTTGGTTGGGATTTCCTTTTTTTTCCTTTTTTTGGGGGATTTCTTCTTCCAGTGTTCCCTCGTAGAGCCACCTCTCCCCAAGGGAGCACCCCTGGCGCTCGGAGCCATCGGGGGCCCCTACCACAGCAGATAACAGCAATGGTGCTGCTCAGGCTTCTCCTTGGTGCTCCACGCCAGCCTCCGTGCTGAGTGTTCCGCTGAGCTAGTCTGGGTCAGACGAGCCCACTGCTAGGCCACACTCTTCCTCCAAAGGCAGAAGGAGAGCCTCCCTCAAGCGAGAGAGCCCAGAGAAGCCTCTGCCCACCTTCCCGGGTGACAGGGGTGAAGAACGCGGGAAAGGAAGGAGGGTGCATGCGGCCCAGGCCTCAGGAGACCCCTGCTTTGGGAACTTTTGGTGACCAGACTGAAAAACCTTATCCCGTGCTTTGAGCGTGCTGGTGAGAGTAGCCACACTTGTTCCCCCGGAAAGAATTTTCCGTGCCACCTCCCTTCAGACCCGGGCGGGACCCTGAGAGGAGTGCGTGAGGGCTTTTCCAACTGGCCGCCTGGACATCCTCTTGAACCTGAAGAAGATAGTTCCACGTTCTACCTAAGGGAAGATCAGGCAAACTTTCTCCCGGCAGGAAAGGACCCTGTGCTTGGTTTGGTACCTTTAATATTTATTACTAACCTCCGTTCGGCAATGGCAGCAGCCTCCAGAGAGACGCTTTGAGCAATCAGGATTTGAGGTGTGGTGATGGCAGGGCTGCATGGCTGCCCCAGGTCATCGGTTTTCAAGAATCAGACACCAGGCCAAGATGCTTCCCAGTCTGTTACTGACCTGGGCCCTGAGGCCAGCGGGTTCCTCAGAGCACCTGGGTCAGGGAAACTGAGAAAAGGGGGACCACTGACTCTGAGCCCTTCCCGCCACTCGACCTGGGCCCGTGCTGCCCAGACAGGATGAGGACAGAAGACGCGTTAACAACTTCCCAGAGGTGGACAGCCTGACAGCACTCGTCAACCTCCAGACAGACCCCAACATTTAAGTGACCTTCCGATCTCGGACAGTGTCTTCCTTCCTTATCTGTAGCAACTCTTAGGTAGAAGCCAACAAGCACTTCCCAGGACCTGTCCCAAAGGAACATTGCTAAGTGTTGCTACGTGACAGGTGGCGAGGTTCCTGTTTGATCACTGTGAATCAACCCTCGTCCTTCCCCCATCTCCCACCCCTCCCTCTCTGTGAGTTTTCTAAGTAGGCCACTCAAAAACCAGTCTCCCATTAGCTCGGATTCCAAGACTCAGACAGGCGATCTCCACATTGGGCTAATAAAGAGGGGTCAACAGCAAATGAGCCGTCTTATGCTTAATACTTCTTTGCGCTCGGCATTTTTCCATCCGAGGCTCAGAAGAAGTGTGGGGGGCCCCTGGCCCAGTTGTACCAATGAAGCCAGTCAGTGTGTTCTCAGAGTGGATCAGCATTTCCACAGCGGACTGGTCCTCCCTTCCAGAATCTCGGCCGAACTGCTGTGCCCTGAATTACCCATGGTGAAAAAAATCTGCTGTATCGGGCTACTCTGGGATGCTCCAAATAACGCTTCCTCCAAAAAGAAGCCACAGTGATTGTTAAAACCTTGGTGGACTTAGCCGGAGTAGTAAGACAGGGAAGAAAGCACCAGACGTATCCTTCAGATGTGGCATAATTACGTTTGTCCTCACTCGCCTTAGGAGTTGGCTCGTCTTCTAGCCAAAATCCAATTGTCCTACCTTGGCTTTTCTAAAAAACGAGGGTGTTTATACTTGGTGTGAAATACTTGATTCAAACGGGGATGACCTCCTCAGGCTAAAAATGAACATCACAGCCTTTTAAAGTCACCACTGAGCTTCATGAGTGACTGAAGTCCTGTGGATCCGTGTAATTGGGTCACACAGCAAGGCAGAACAACGAAAGAATGGCTTAGGACTGACAAGAGATCAAAAGACAGCCATATCCCTTATTTAATTTTGTAATACAGTTGCTCTGATATCCCTAGAGTAAGGATATGTGTGTACATAATAAGAAAAAAAAATAGAAAAGACCTGCCTTTTGTGGGGTTCTTTTATATCTGAGTCAGAGGAGTTTAAATTAGACTGTAATTTAGATTGTTGGCTTGTTCTGCTGCTGACAGCAGGATCCCTAGGGTCCCACCTGAATATGAGTCCCTAATCCAGTGTCCAGAACGTCCAGAGCGTTGGAAGTGTTTGAGCTGCCAAGTCAACATCAGGGTTAACCGGGTACCATGGGGGTCACAGTGCATGTCATTCGTCCTCAGATCGGTTTGCTTCGGCCTCTCACCGAGGAGGGGCTGGTCGGTCCTGAGCTTGCACCTGGGAAATGCTCACTTCTCGGCCAGCTCCTTAGTCTGGAAGGGTGTCCTGGCTCCACTTACCCTGGTCTTTAGCCACCGGTCAAGTTCTCGCTACCTTCTACCACCTTTGCAAGCCTCTGGAAATCCTTCCACCAATGAAAGCCTTCGATCCCGGCATTGGCCTTTCAGCCAGACGGCTCTGCTCTGTCTCCGCTGTCCTCGGTCCCCCGGAGACCGTGCCATCTGTAGCCTAGGCAACCACCACCATGGGCCTGCCAGCCTTCGCCACAGCAAACCGAGCCGGCTGCCTGCTGCTCACATCCCCTTTGTCTCCCAAGGTCAGACCAAATGCAGGATCAGCAACCCACAGCGGTGGCACAGGCTCTCGCCCCCAGGAGCCAAAGCAATGGGAAATCATGGGTTAGATGCCGTTGGGTCCGATTCTGAGAGTAGACCATTTTCCAGACATGTCTTTCAGGTGACCCTCAACTACCTCAGTTGGAAGGCCCCAAATGAAGCTGATTACTACTAGGGACAAACCGAGGGGGTTCCGATAAATCTTGCTGGTAACTTATAACAAACTCTCACATTTAGGTTCGCAGGGATAGGTTGGGTTTGTTCTTCTTCTGTTCTGTTTTTTAACTTTTTCCCCTAATTTTCCATTAGAATAGTTCCTAGAAATGGATTTCATTTTTCACCGAGTGCCTACCTTCCCAGGGCAGGTAGCCACTGGCTTTTCTTCCCTTCCAACAGTACTTTTATTATGATATTAAGACCTTTCTTTGTATAATACATTGCATCTGTGTTTTCAATTTTTCAAATAAATACTTCAACCTGGCAATGGAGAGTCGTGGTGCTGACTGACATCCAACGTGGTTTTGGGGTCGGGGTTCCAGTGGAAAGCCTACGCATGTGTCCTGGTGTTCGCCAAATCCCACTTAACCTCTGCACCTCTGGGAGTAGGTCTTAAAGACAGGAATACAGCTCCTGTAGAGAACCTGGTTTGCCCTCCTTAATCACGTTCCATCCCCTGTACACTCCTGTCCTTGGGAACGATCAAACACAACGTGCCAGAGTGGTCCATACTGTCTTTCCATCTTCACGCCCAGGTCTGTGCTTAAAATCTGCCATCTCGGGCTTAGATACACCTTTCTCCACCCTCAAGATGCAAAAGTAACCGGTCACCTTAAAATTGGGACAATTGCTGCTCAGGGGCAGGAGCTGCCAGTCCTAACGGGATTCAGAGCAAGTCCTGGCTACCAGAGGATCTGCGGGGGGAGCCGATGAATGGGCGTGGCTAGACGCATGGAGATTTCACCGCGGCGTGTTCTGCAAGCTTGTGCTGCTGGTGCATGAAGCCAAGGGGACATCCAAGGGATGGAGGGAGGTGGGGAAGGCCTGGGGAGGATAAGCAGGAGAATTGCCCAAATGAGTCACCAAGTAAGGAGAGAAGGACTGCCCGGCGGGAAGATGATCCGGATAAATATAGAAATGGGGACTGCTTGCCTGCAGCTGGGGTTTTCTGTTCCTTGCAGCAGAAAGCAAGAGTGAGCCTCTTCCATCTGAAGAACCACTGATGAATGGACAGACTGTCCCCTACGAGACCAACATTTGAAATAAATTTTGAAAACTAAATTGTGTTCAATTCCTGTGTGGTTGAAAATGACCAATATTACAACAGGCATGTCCTCTCGAATTCTGTCAACTCGGCAAGAATTGCGGAGTTCCTATTGTATGCAAGAGCCTGTAGGGGGAGAAAAATAAGCAAGAGCTGGTCCCTCCTTAAAGGACCTTCCAAACTGGGAAGGAAGGTAGACAGATGCATTAGAAACTGTAGTATGTGAAAAAGATGGACACTCAAGAAATCCAGCAGTAGTCAAAGGAAAGAGAAGAATGGGGCAATAGCTTTAGGAGGTAATGGTATCAAGAGAAGTGTTTTTAAGAAAGGTAGAAACATGCTTCAAAGCTAAAACAGAGAGGAGATAGAGATTAAAGCATGGCAGAATGAGGAGGAAGGCTGTAGCACTCTGCTTGAGATGTGGATTTGTTCATTCCCCCGACAAATTCTTATTTCATATCCACCGCATTGAAAGGCATGAGGGATACAGTGCCGGGGACACATCTGACCTCTGGAAGCTTGCAGTCAAGTTGGAGCAGCTGGCACAGAACCAGTGGGATGTAGAACCCAAAAGGTATGAAGAGGAGGACACAGCAAGGGAGCTAGTACGTTCAAGCAGGTCAGGGGAAGCTCCCATCAACAAATGACATTTAAGCCGAAACCTGAAGAATGTAAAAGTTGGCATTGGGGCAGGGGCACCTGGGTGGTTCAGTCAGTGAAGCACTTGACTTTGGCTCAGGTCATGCTTTCAGGGTCCTGGGATCGAGCCCCATGTCAGGCTCTGCCCTCAGCACAGAGTCTGCTTGTCCCTTTACCTCTGCTCTTCCCCCTGCTCACTATAAAAAATTCATTAAAAGTTTTTAAAAACTCTAAAAAAAAAGTTGGCAGTCGGGGAGGGAGAGGGGAAAAATACTCCAGGCAAAGCTAAAGGCATTGCGAGAGACATTGCAACACTGATCATGACAGATGTCTGGGCTGACAGAGGGTGGCCAAACTCAGTGCCAAATCCTAGAAGGTCTCAAGTGCCATTGGAAAGATTGGAGGCTTTATGGTGGGGATCGTAAGCAGGGGTGTGGTGTGACACTAGCTATCAGGTCTCATCTAAATAACCTCGATAGACTTCTCTGTCTCCCACCTACCCAGCTCTGCCCCCTGCCAAACCATTCTCATTCTGCAGCTCGAGTAACCATCATTCCTGAAGTTACATCTGTTCTTGTCACCCTCCCTTCTTAAAACCTTTCAGTGCCTTCCTATTGCTTTTGCTAAATTGAGGTAAGATTAACATAAAATTAACCATTTAGTTCATGTTGGACATTCACACTGTCATGCAACCACCCCTTCTATCTGGTTCCTAAACATTTTCATCTCCCCAGAAGAAAACCTCTTATTAGCAGTCACTCCCTACTCACCCCTCTCCCCAACCCCTTGGATCTGTTTCTGTCTCTATGCAACAGTGTATGACAGGTGGAGTTATAAGCCAGTGAGAAAATTATGGGATATCTAAACATTCAAAGTGTTGTTTTTTGGAGATTATATGTATATATATATTTTTTAAGTGTATACAGATATAAAATTTATGGTAGTAGTTGCTTCTAGGAAAAAAGGGAAGGGGTGCTGTGGGGACAGGAAACCAAGGAAATTTCATTTTTATCGGGACTGTTTTCTTTTGACAGGGTTTTGGACATGCTGATATTCAATATGGCACTTTGGCATACTGAATATTTGAAGTTGAGGGAAATTGAGAAATGGCATGTACAGGAAGGACTTTCTGAGCTTCCTCTGAAGCAGCCATGTGAGAGGTACCCTCCTTATTCTGGAGGCAAGGAACATCCTTATCTCCATGTGAGAGATGCCGAGAAGAATCTGAACAGATTACCCAAGTTTACTGCACTCAGCTCACACTTTCCTTCACCTGATCACATTTTCCTGTGACTTTCTACTTGTCATCAAACCTAGCATAAACACACTCAGGTTTGGGGCACCTGAATGCCTCAGTAGGTTAAGCATCTGACTTTTGGTTTTGGCTCAGGTCACGATCTCAGGGTCATGGCATCAAGCCCTGAGTCAGGCTCTGTGTCAGGCTCTGTGCTCAGTGCAGAGTCTGCTTGTCCCTCTCCCTGTGCTCCGCCCCCCACTTGTACTCATTCTCTCTTTCTCTCAAAAATAATAATAAAACCACTCAGGTTTAACTGCTTTCTTAGGTCTTACATCACTAAAAACACAGAATGGTGGAGGGAAACTTCCCTGCAGTTTCTGGCAGCCACAAAGGGAGGGCTGGGATACCTCCCTTGCTCCAGAGCAAATAGATGTAGGTTATTTTATTATTTTAGTAAAATTTAATTTTACTAAATTTAGTAAAATTTACCAAATTTAATATTTAGTAAAAATTATTTACTAAAAGTAGAATGGGATTGAGTAGCAATTTTGTGGCAGACTTTAGGAAGTTTGGGGGAAATGCTGTAGTTAATATGACAGCAAGCTCACAGAATGGATAAACAGTTTCCAGTCTGCAGTCGGAGCCCAGCGCTTTTAGAAAACATGCATTTATGGAGGAAGGATGACACGGTTCTTCGTTTTTCACCAGCGATGTTTAGAATCAGCCAGACTGGAAAAAAGACACAGCGTGGTTTCACATCGGATGGAGACTGGCCAAAAGGGCAAAGAGAAAACTCGCTAAAGGGAGAACGGAAGTGATGGGTCATGAAAGCAGAGCTATTGGGGAAAGGAAAAGAAGCCAGAGAGCTGCTGGTTAGAGCCAGAAAGACCTACAGGCTGGAATGAGGATGAAAAGTGTACTTGTAGAATTGGGAGGAATGTGAACTATTCCCAATAAAATGAAGGAGCGAGAGAGGTGTCAAAATCAGTCTGGGGTAAGAAAGAGGAATTCCAGAGTTTGGCACCCCCGTCCCCAGAAAGGGCTTCTCTTTAATGCTGAGACTGGTAGAACAGGTGTTAGCTGCTCAGTTTTAGCCAGACCTTGGGACAGAATGATTGGGGGCTGGGGGTGGGGGCGTGGGAAACACTCCTTACCAACTGTTTAAAAAAAAAAAAGTGCCCGTTAGGTCTGGCTTCAGTGTAAATGTGCCGTTGTCCAGGCAGTCTTTACAAAGGTCTGGGGGTTTACAAGGGAACAAAACGAACACCCAACGACTGGACCCTGAAAGAGGTCCAGCTACGGGCAGGTGCTCAGTTTCCTGGGGGGGGGTGGGTAGGTGTCCCAGAAAGATCCTGCACCGGCAGAGGGCAAGGCTGGGGCGGGTGGGGGGAGGATTTGGGCTCTCAGTCACGGCCTTGGAGGCAACCACTGCCCTAGGGGATGTGGGTTCCTGGAACTGAGTAGATCACCCCGTCCTGCAGGAAAGATTCATCGAATTGGATTCCGCACGTCTGCAAGGCGAAGACCAAGGGCGGGAACCTCACCACACGCTCTTCCCTCTCAGACCCAAGACTCCCGAAACCCAGTGCGCGAAGCGAGCAACCGAGCCCGGTTGCCTGGCAACCGGCTCCCCGTGGCTGCTCTCGCGGGAGTCGTCCGCAGTGACGCAAGACGCGCGCACGCGCGCGGTGCATGACGGGAGCACGCGGCTTTCCGCCTGCTCGGGGGCGGGCTGTCCAGGGAAGCTGAGGAGGCTGGAGTACGACGGGGCCTCGTGGGCCGCAGCCGCCTGGGCTGGTCGCTCGCTGGGGCCGCGGCTGGGCCACCCCCTGGAGGTGTGCAGTCAGGTAAGCCCCTTCCACGCGCGCCCTCGAGGCTCGCTTCCGGGCCGGCCGCCGGCGCTTCCCACCCGGCTGAGGTGTGCCTGGGTCGGCGGGGCACGTCATAATGGAAAGGCAGTTTGGCGCCTAGTGGGTCCGCGGCGTTTGCTGTTTAACCATCACCCCGGCCCCTCATTCCTGTGCCCCCGTGGGCTCCTTGAGGCCACTTCTGCTTGCTGCTCCCTCCCTGGTTTCTGCTCCTCAGCCCAGCTCTAGGTCTCTCTTCAGGATTCAGTTCTTGGCACTCTTAGCAGGCGGTGGTCCGCTGTCCCCTCTCCCCGGTGACCAGGGCAGTTTACCTGGCTCCTAAGTGCCCTCGTCAAACAGGACGTGCCTTGGAAGCTCTGGGACCGCGTTTTATGTCTGCGGGGCAGCTCTCTGTGCCGCGATGCGTTATCTCACTGAATCCGAACTCGTGGTTCCTCCACTTCCGGTGTGTTCACCAACGGAATTCGCGACCGCCGC